TAAGACCCCTTATCGTATTTCTCATTATCTAGCGTTAATTAAGGCGTAACTGTATCCCAAAAACTAGTAAGAGAGAAAGAACAAAGTAGTGATTTCTCAATTATTCCTCTTATTCAATATCTTCGAATCCGCTTAGTTTCATTAGAAATCAGGTCCTCGTTTAAGTTTTTTGGTAATGACTGAGACGTGACTTAATTCACTGGGTAAGCCGACGAGACGTTTCGCATTATTTTTTCAGGTGAATAATCATCCAATTCAATCAGATCGCTATTTGCTCGAGGTCCTCATTTCTCGTATAATCTTCTGAAATAAAAGTTCAAATTTAACTAAAGTAAAAAATTTGGAAAATTGATATTTCTTAATCATAATATAGATGAAAATAAACCATTTATTTATAACGAATGTAGATCAAAAACCTCGAGAATTACTACCACATGTTTTGTAAGTGGGAAAATTATAGACAATTTGGTCGATGGAACCCCAGTAGAAATCACAAATTTTACGCTTAAGACCTCGGGATAAAAACTGAAACATGCATGATTGTAAAGGAAAAATATAATTACCGTTATTAAACAGGCCGTTTCAGAATTTGAAAATTTGATAAACATGAAACGTAGATAGTAATAAAATACAATGAAACTCTTGGATGTGAGGAGTGACTAATCTTTTTAAAGATGCCGACTAAAAGATTAACGTATAATTAACCAATTGTCATTATCTATTTAGAAGTGAGTGTGAGTGTCATTACCGTATAGACTCTTGGAAAACTCTTTTTTGACAAGCCAATTAAAACTTTTAATTGTTACATTTATAAAGAAAAATAGTTAATAGGTATATATTAATTAATATTTGTTGTAGCTTCTGAAAACTCTAATGGATCAATTATATTATTTTGAGACAATCACATTTGTCACGTATTTTTTTTAGTTTTCGCTTCAAATGTACATTTTTTTTTTGTTGTTAATCAATCAAACTTACAACAAGCTTATGACTGAACATATCGTGCTGACAATTAAAATTTTGTCATATTTTTTTTTTAAAAACTGTTTAGCTAAAAAATAGAATAGGTTTGTTTTATTTATCTTAAAAGGAAACGGTTAATAATTTTTTTTTGCAATTTTACCAAAAAAAAAATGGGCCGTTCTTTTGGATAAATTTTATCATTATCACCTAAGCCAAATTTTATCTGGAGATGGTGCACGACATGAAAAAAATCTAATATAATATTATAGGTAGGCTATACAGGCTGTTCCGGTTAAACAGCACATTAGAAGTATTAGAAGGTCTAACAATAATATTTATCTAAAATTTTGTTTATAGCTATAATCGGTTAGGTCCCGCTTAATGAAAATATTTTCAAGATGGCGGCACTTTCGGATACACCGGAAGTGGATTTCAACTTTGTTATTTTAAATAGAAAGCTATTTTTTGTTTATTGCGTTTTCGGATTTCTCAAGTGATTTCTACAGAGTTTTCATCAGCCTTCCTTATATCTAAGTTTAACCGTTTTCAAAATATTTAGCCTTTTTTGAAATTTCATTGGATTTCACTTTCATTTAAAAGTCGATAACTCTACAATTTTTTATTAGGTACTACGAAATCGTATTTGGGCATATGAAAGAGAAAGAAGTTTCATAATCGTAAACTTAAATTTTGTTTGTTAATTATTTTTGCAATTATAAATACAGCTAAGAAAAGATCTAAACTTTCTCTTTCATATGCCCTTAATAATTAACAATGTTAAAGTTATTCATTTTTGAAAAGAAAGGTGCAAATCCAAAAAAAATCAGAAAGTCTAAATATTTCGAAAACGGATAAACTTAGGTTTCGGGAAAACCGATCACAACTGTCCCAAAATCCCTTGAGTAATCCAAAAACGTAATAAAAAACAGCTTTCTATTTAAAATAACGAAATTGCCACCACCTTGTAAATATTTTTATTGAGCAGCACCTAACCGATTATGGCCATACAACAAACAAAATTATAGATAAATATCATTATTGGAACTCTCAATACCTCTTACGTGAGGTTTAACCGGAACAGCCTGTACATGGTGTCCGTTTTTCGAGCTCCATCATGGGGATCTCAGTTATTATAAGAGATACGAGGTTAGTTAAATTAGGGCAAAATTTAATGTGTCATTTTTAGTTTTTGAATTATTGGAAAAAAACTGAAATTTGTAATTATTGTTTTTATTTTTTCAAGCGAAAACTAAAAGACCTAGACGTTTTGAGCAATGACGTTCTTAAGGCACATTTTTACAAGGAATCTAAATCTGTCATTGTATTTTCTTTTGGATTTTCTTATAAACGAAATTTCTGTATTTTTGAAAAGTCTTTTTGTTCCTGATTACAACGATGTATCACGCGACATGATCAAATGTTACATACTGATTAAAATTAAGAAAAAGCGTTTTTGCGAAGAGTGCTTTGGAAAAAACACCATACTACTACTCTACACATACTCTACTTCGAACGAGAGCTACTTTCCAGAAGTGTTGTAGTTTGAAGACAAGTAAATAATTTTGCAACATAAAACTGAATAATTCAATTTAGAGCAGGATTTAATAAAATTATTTTTTCCAATCTGGTTGTGAAAACCAACCATTGTGATATGACATTTTAGTTATCAAATGTGCTTAATTTTATCACTAGTTACAAAATATGACATTATGTTATCATTAGTTATAATGTTATAACATATATTAATATTATTTTATCTGTAGTGTTAAAAAGTGTGACATAAAGATAACATATAACACTATTTTCATAGCAACGCCCCGACACTATTATGATTTTGGAAAATCATTGAAATTACACATTTAAAATTCAAATTTAAGCTTCGCTTCGTGCCCCAAAATTCGGTCTCAGACCTGAAAAATAATTTGACAGCGCACTTGTATCGAAAATAACTGTAAACGCATGGTATACTCGTGAATTAATTGAATTGAAAAGGTTTTTATTATTGTCAAATTGCTATTTGCAAATTTTTGGAGAAAAAAAAATTAGAAAATTTTTATAAAATGATGTAGAAGTATTGGGCTAGGTCGGAAGTGAATAAAACAATATTGCCTGAAAATGGCTATCTAAAAATAGCCGAAATATGTAGCTATTGTAACAATAAACTTCGAGGGAACCAGGGAACAGGACCTAAGAAAATATTTTATCCTTTATTACAACCAACAAATATCTCACAAAAATGGATCACTCTCAATAAAGTATCATTTGTTGGAACCCATCCAATTTTGTTCAGTTTTCTGAATCTTTGTAACATTTGCTTTACAGTAGTATTACATTTTAGTGTCATACCAACATAAAAAACAAAATATGTACAATAAGTAGTGAATAAATTTTATTACGTTTATATTAAAAAAAAAAAATCGGAAATATTGAACTAAACAAAAGTTCAACAATACGTAGCACATGTATTGTTTAACAAAACTTAACAATACACAGTATGTCCCGGATCGAGTTTACAAGAGGAAAAAAAATATCATTGATTTTACTCCAAAACGGCAAAGGAAAAATATTTTTTGCTTCACCTAAAACGAACAAATCTGTACTTAAAACTTCTTATTCTGATTCAGAAAGAAAGAAAAGTTAATTTTTCTCTTGATTTTCGACTACCGAGAACTACATAGTCTTTAGGTATCCGTATTTTCGACTTAGAATAATTTTTCTCTGGTTTTTAAGTCATATCACATTGGCAGTTTTATTTATTTGACAACTATATATCACTTTGACAATTAATTTATTAATTACATAATGATAGTTAAAAATGATTTTGGTTTTTATCTTAAAGCTGTTTCTTTGAGTAGCTATTTATTAAAATTATATTTTTCTAAACATTTTTGTTATATAACTTGCGTAAACTCATTTGTCAAAGTGACATCATTGTCAAAAAAAAATTAAACAGCCAATGTGATAGGACTTAAACAGCAGAGAAAAATTATTCCAAGTCCAAAATCAAGAGAAAAATGAACTTTTCTTTCTACTGAGTTAGAATAATGAAGTTTTAATTACAGATTTGCTCGTTTCAGGTAAAGCAAAAAATGTTGTTCCTTACCAGTTTTGGCGTAAAATCAAAGGTACAAATTTTGTTCCTCTTGTAAACTCAATCCGGGGACATACTGTATAATCTCAAAATTTACTCTACGATCAACAACAGCTTTTCTTGATAAAGTGGCGTCCTGTTCCCAACGACCTTCAATTTTAAAAACAGAACTTTCAGGTGAAATTCTCGTATAACTGAACTTATTGACCAACCTCCTTCTAGTTTTATGACAATGCGAGCTCTTATCATTACATTCAATGAAAAATATGACTGAAAATTATTCCACGATGAAATAGTAAATGTACACTTTTCTTTTGAACGGCAGTGTACATACAACGTTTTATGCTTCAGCTGAAATTTAAAAAAATAATTCGAAATGTCCAAATTAATATGATAAATTATCAAGTCAAGTAGCTTATGAACTCACAGTATCCTGAGAAACAAGTAAAGAATCGTGGCAAATTATGAAAACTTTAACGACCCCTTAGCGCTAGGATATAATTCCTTCATAATATACCTCAAATCGAAGTCATTATGGATCAATAGTGAACAAGTGAGACATAAAATATTGGACCAACTTGTGAAACTATCATTCTACGATTTAATTAGAGAATTTTCATTTCCATTTTTTTGTTTTTCACTACGCAGAAAGCAATCTGGAAGAGACCAAGATTTAATATCAGCATAAAAATAAATTGAATTTCAATGTCAGTGTAATTAAATTTACTTATAGAGTACGAAATAAATATTATTAAATTTACATAATTCTTAAAAGCAGCTCTTGCTTCAGCATGAAAGATCCTGTGAATTTTATTACAAATTTTGACACATAAAATCTATACACTTTAATGTCAAAGTATAAATATGAATATGTACATAACTAAAAATAATTTTAATTATTATTGTGTTTATATAATTTTTGAAATAAAATCGTGATTACTTTCAGACCGAACAATTCACCTTACTATGGGTACTGTTCGTGATAATAGTTGCCGGAAACATGGGTGTGTTATACACGCTTCTCTTTGGCCGATCTAGAAAAAGTCGAATGAATTATTTCATAACCCACCTTGCCCTAGCAGGTAAAAGACCGATCAAATCCAAACCCATCATTAAATTTTGTTGCAGACCTTAGTGTGGGTTTGATTAATGTTTTGACAGATATAATTTGGAAAACCACAGTGGCATGGTATGCCGGCAATATTGCCTGTAAAGTGATACGTTTTCTCCAGGTCTAGATCGCAGAATATAAATATAAAAAAAATATTAAAAAAATATTTATTTTAGGTAATGGTAACATATGCATCGACTTATGTTTTGGTTGCTTTAAGTATAGATCGATATGACGCAATTCGTCACCCCATGAAATTTTCAGGCAGTTGTAAGTATAAATATTGTTTCTATTTTTCAATATTTTCGTTGTTTATTTTTAGGTAAAATTCAAGTGTAATATTAAATGTTTTTGCAGGGAAACGTGCTAGATATCTAATATTAGCCGCCTGGTTCTTCAGTGCTCTGTATTCGTTACCAATTTTAATCTTCTACGAAGAGAAGATCGTAAAAGATAAACTCCAATGCTGGATAGAATTTTATCCTCAATGGAAATGGCAAGTTTACATGACACTAGTCTCGCTCTCACTCTTTATCATTCCTGCGTCAATTATTGCGACGTGTTATGCCATCATCATTATCACCATTTGGTCGAAAAATGCCAAAGGCTTTATCAAAAATACCAAAGCAACTAATGGCTCAGATAATTCTAGAAGAGCAAGTTCTAGAGGATTGATTCCAAGAGCCAAAGTCAAGACGATTAAAATCACATTTGTTATAGTGAGCGGTTTGTAAAAAATATTTGAAAATAAAAAGTTTACTGAATTCAGTATTTTATACGGAATTTAGTAAATTTTGCCTTCTGTTACAAGCTACCTTTTCTTTCTTTTTACAGTTTTTATTCTATGTTGGAGTCCTTATATAATTTTTGATTTGTTACAAGTGTTTGGACAAATACCAGGGACTCAGACCAATATAGCTATTGCTACTTTTATCCAAAGTTTAGCACCACTGAACTCAGCAGCTAACCCCATCATTTACTGCCTGTTTTCAACACATTTCTGTCGGACTTTAGGGTTAGTAGTGCATGCATTCGAGAAACATAAAACAAATTCTCGTCAGTAGTTAGTGCTTAGTTGGTGCTTCATATCTCAGTGTTACTGAAATTAGAAAAAATATACAGAGTGTCCCAGCGGGTTGGTAAAGTTCATTATTGACCTTTATATGTTAAAAATTAAAAAATAAGTTTAAATCCAAATGTATGATTTTTTCAATGAAACTTCATATGTTTTTAATTTATTACAATGTCTTTAAGCTAAACTTTTATTGCTCGATTTTGCTTAATTTTGAAATAAGTTGTTTTTGAACGAAACGTCCTTTTTTTCAAAAAATTTTACACAAAAATTAAGGCAGCTAATTTTTTTTTACAACTGCAAAGAGAAAATTACCAGATAACATGCCTATAGTGTTTCATTTAAAAACATAAGTTTGTATTGTAACTTATTTTAGGAACACGTTGAAAATAATTTGAAGCGATGCACTAAATTAGTACATTTAAAATTTTAACATTTAAAAGTCAGTAATGGATTTACCGACTCGCTGGGACATCCTATATAAAGTGTAAATAAAATTAAGTATATCTGAAAATTTTAATAAGTAGCTACAGACTGTTCCTGCTAAACCCCACATTGGAAGTATTGGGAGAGAATAATTCATTATTTTTTCTTTTAAAGCAGAGTAGGCTATGGAAATTTAGCGAATTGTATGTGACTGTGGCTGTATGACAATAAAATAGCATACTCTGGTCTAAAACAAAAATGAATATACTATACAGGGTGTTCGTTTTTTAAGCTCCACCATGAGAGGGAACACCCGGTATATTTTATTATTTTTGGATTCCTCACTAAACTGTCTTTCAACAAGCTCACCTACTATTATTTATCATTAATTTTTGATTTTAGGCAGTTTAAAAATTAAATGAAATAAAGGAGGCTGTAGAAAAATTAGAACATTTTTATTCATTTTATCTAAAACAAGCAAACGATTGATAAAAAAAACTGTTCAATTTTGATCACAGAAGTATTGTAACGTTTTTAAAAGTAATGAAATTATGGATTCGGGCATTTTTTATAATCCAGCCTGTGTGTGGTTTCTCATTGTCAACTAAGTCCACTAGATTAAATACAAAATTAAATTTACCAATACATAATCATGGGGGGGAGGAAAATGCAAAAAAAAGGATACGGAATTTCTTTGGTCAAAATCAAACTGCAAATTTAAATTCCATAATAATATCAAAATTTTTATAAATAGAATTTTTTAAACATTTTTTCTATGTTCTACTTGAAATTTATCTCTGGGATGCGAGTCTTGACACAGCCTGTATACAAGAAGATGGGAACAAAAAGTAACCTGAGGTTCCCCAAACCAAAATGAAGCGTTTTGGCCCCACTTACCTTTATACCAAATTGCACCGTTTAAAAGTTTAAAAATCATTTTCAATTTTCTATAATAACTTTTTAATTGTGTAATCAATTTTAATGAAATTTAATACAGACATAATTTGCTATGAAAATCAATATTTTGGTGATATTTCTTTTGATTTACTGTTATTGTAAAGTACTTACTCTATAACAACTTAACATACAGGGTGATTCTTAAATAGACCGACCTTATCCGAGTGTATTAGTATTATTTTTAAACAATTTATGTAACTTATAATTTTTTTGTACCGGTTTTGGTTTTGGAGTAAAAAAATAATTTAAGGAGACGTGTCAAAATCTCGGACGTTCGCAATTTATTATTATTGTTTTTAAAATTGTGTTAAACAATTTTTAGGTTTTCAAACCAAAAATACCTTTAGCGTATGTACACTTGCTTTCAAAACTTTCGCGTACACATTTAAAATCAAGTAACAACAATTTTGCAAAATTTTGGCTGTGTGAAAGGGAAATTTTAAAATTAGGTTAAAGATGACACTGACAGCATTTTCTTATAGTCACGGTCCCGTCTTGTTTCCACCTCTTCTTCACTCGTAAGACAGTGCTTTTATTTAGCCTATAATGTGCAGCAACCCTTCTTATGCTCCGCCCATCGTCCAACTTCGAAAGGATCAAAACTTTGTCTTGCTCTGACAGTCGAGGCATTTTGACTTTTTAAATATAAATGTCAAAATTGATTAATTACAACCCGGATTTAATACAGCGAAAAATAGGTGTACGCGAAAGTTTTGAAAGCAAATGTAACTGGATATAATATTTTATTTAAATTAATTCAGTAATCAATGTGAGCTGGATGAAAATGAGTGAAGTCGTCAAAATGACAAGTAATTCAGTAATTGTCTACTGCTTCAAGGACTTTAATTTCATTTTCTGGACCAGTAGCAGTCCTCTAATGGAGTCTTTTATTGGGGACCAATCTTATCGTAACTTGGCTTCCAGTTTTCGACATGTTTCAGGACCGGATGCATTCGATTTGGAATTGACTGTTCTTTTTAAATGTCAAATTGAAAAATATGCAAAGTATTCTTGGATTCAATTTTATAATTTTTAAAAATGAGGAAGCTAGACGTCTATGTGAGTTGTATAATGGGTTGCTGCCCAAATTATTTCAGAAATAACTCTCCTGTGACTAACCCTGTATAATTATTAATTTAAACAAAAATAAATAAATAAATACAGGGTTTCCCACGAGTAATAATGAGCCTGAAAAATTTTTTGAAGGAACCAACATTACATTTCATAGAAAACGTGGATATTAAAATATTTCCTTTTAATTAGTTAAACAAAGTAATCGTATTTTTATTTTTGTCAAATTTCTATAAGTCAAAATGACTACTCCAGTTTTAGTAAGTCCGTCTATTTGGATATCACGCTGGATAGAAACGTGCAGTCTGCGAAGTGTTTGTCAAACATTCTTCATAAATGAGAATCTTGTTGGTCTTTTCGACAACATTTTAGTAATTCTCACCAAATTCTCCAAGGTTTGACATTTTATAAATTAAAGTGCTGTTTGGTCACTATGTTTAATTTATTAAAACTAAATATTTTAATATCCACGTTATCTTTAAAATGTAATGTTGGTTGCTTCAAAACTTTTTTCAGGCTCATTATTACTCGTGAGACATCCTGTATTATACATAATTTGGTAGATAGTGTCTATACTCGTATTCTTTTCTCAATATTTTCCTCTAAAGTAACTAAGAACATTTAGGTATATTATTAAACACATTTTTAATTACTTGTACCAACTTCATTCCATTAGATTTGTTTGGCCAGATTTTGTTTAGCATTTAATCCATTACATCCACAAACCATATTTCAGTGTCAATGTCAAACACATCCGTGCGCTACATTAAAGCAACATACTTACCTAATTTTTCAAAACAACGTATAAAAGCAGTATGAACAAATTATGCTTTCATTTAAAACTTTGTTGTAAATATGTTCGAAATATTAAATTGTGAAAACACAATGGAGACAGACAATTTCGCTAAAACTAAAGATTCATTCTATAGTTCGACCTTTCCAATAGGTGCTTGCCCTTCCAACGTCGAAAACAAAACCTCTTCTTTTGATTAAGAAAAATGCATCTATCAAAAATACAAATGTTCAAAAATAAAGTTATATAAAACTATCAATTTTTTTTTGTTTTGAACTGTCGACGAAAACGAAATGAATCATGTCTTATCTATTGATCCACAACCGTCTAAAACAAATGGATAAGTTGTTTTCACTTCAAAAAATAAAGTTATTGCACCTCTACCACTACTGTTTATATTGCTGAATTTACTTGTGCACATAATTTTAGTAATTCACAAAAACATTAACTTTGAAAAGTTATTTTTCCATTATTAAGCAAGACCTAATAACTAACAAATTAATGACATACATACAGGATGATTCATATACAAAAACTACGACTCTGAAAAAGTTTGAATAGTCCTTTTTTAATTTAATATACTGCCAAACTAAAATTGCGACTACAAAAATACGTAAATAATTTTTTACTAAATGAAATCTTTTATAAAATACAATTTTATTTTACTGCGAATTCAACTCAAATGAATAACGTTAAAACAAAAAAATTTTATAAACCCAGATGAACAAAATTAAAATAAGTTTGTTTGTTTCCTGTCAAGTAGTTTATCCAAACATATACGTTTGCAACTTTAACTTGGACCAAATTGAAATAAATTTGATGAACAAATTGAGTTTTCGAAAAGCTACACTTTAATAAATTAATTCTGAACTAGGTTGATTTATTTTAAGAGCAGACACAAACTGATGAAACTGTACCTATGTCTCGATACGACTTTTGTTTAAGTTTGGAATTAAATAAATAGAACGAGAGAATCTTTTTTCAAATTTTAATGTAACGTTTAATAAGTTTTAAAAATACGAGTAAAATTATAGTTATTAGGTATCTAAGGGCCAGTTTAAAGGGACTTTAAAGTTAATGTTGGTTTAGAATATGAAATTTTGTCAACATTTAATTAAATGTTTCTTTAAATACAATTATGAAACTTTAATTAAATGTTTTTTGTATAAGCAAGATTCTCATCTGAGACAAGAAAGTTTCTAAATATTTACATAGATATTGTATTACGCATAACTACATAATTGTTATAGACCTAGACCTTAAACAAATTTGAATTAACTTAATGTGGAAATTTTCTCACTACAGTTGAAGATTAAGTTGGAAATCTATTAACAGTGTATAACTGAGCGAAAGGCATTATATGGAACAACTGTGGTAGACTTTGTCAACAACACTCAAACAAAACTTATTATATCTTATTATAATTTTGGTGAAATTAAAGAAGTTTGAAGGAAAACTCCTTTTATACATAAACTTCTTTACTAACGAGACCTTTTCTGAATGTTGAGTATGTAATTCCACAGCAGCCAATCCACAGAAATTACTCAACATTAGTCTTTTCGAATCAAAATTATGTAAAGCCTACTGAACTGAATAAAAAAATGTTTCACTGAGATTATTTCTTTAAAAATCCCTTGAGACGCCACGAAAATTTATGAATAGCGATAACCTTAAACAAGTAAAAACCATAAAATATTCTTGTGTTTCTTGTAATTACTCAATCATTGTTGTTTCTATAAAAATATAGCATTAAATTGTCTGGAATAAAGAAAATTTAATTAAAATGGTAGGGATGAAAGTTTGTCTACTTTAGCAAATGCAAATGTTAGCGAAGTCTATAAGACGATTAAACGAAATTAGACAGCATCAGGTATAATGAAGTATTTAAAAAAAGAATTCCGAGGCTGTTTGCATATGTAGCCACAAAAAAATGAAGTTTATATCGAGCGATCAAGATAATTTGTAATCAAGACATCTTTGGATCCGAAAACGTACAGTTGGAGACAAAATACTTTGGTCGTTAATGTCACTTGAGTGACATTAAATTGTAAAGCATGCTTTAGGACTGTTTTTAGCTACTGTCAATCATAGTTGACAAGTTGTATGTACATATTTTTGATAGGAAAATATAATAGCTGTCAATAATTTGAAATTGTCATTCATTTTAACGTTAAAGCTTGAATTACATTAAAGTGTCACAAAAGTGACGACCAAAGTATTTTGTCTCCAACTGTATGTCTGTAAAATGTCAAGTAACATAACAAGTCGAAAGGTAAAATGGCATGATCTAAAAGGTGATAATTATAATAACTAAATTTATAATTTACCTTCAAAAAGGAACGGTCCTAGTATTATTATATGTCGGCGACTAATTCCAGCCTATTTTGCCGTTTTACTTTACGACTTGTCATTTTATTTGACGTTTCCCGTGAAATTAGTTCAAAAACAGACATAACGTTCTCGTACGATGACTCGATTACAAATTATCTTGATCGCTCGATATTAGTTTTTCATTAAGAGGGGCCTAATTTGATATAAAAAATTATCAATAAAAGAACATACTTTCCTTGTTCCACTTGTGAAACAGAGGAAGCACGAGTCCGCAAGTAAACAAATTGAAGGAATCTGTTTATTTACAGCTTCTGTGCTAAATGTACGAACTTACTCACGAGTACCTACAGTTTTCACTTCGAGGTTTGATCTTTGAGCATTAGTAGATATAATATCATTTTATTATTTATTAAATTTAAATTTTGACCTGCCGGTCACTAATCAAGGTTTTTTTTAGTTTTTTCAATTTTCAGAAATTAATAAAGAATTTAAAAATAATATTTGATTGTGCTTTGTCCTACTAGATCAATATACCAGGTGAATAAAAAGTATGGAACCAAGCGTTTTTTTCGTAAACTAAGCACTTTACGAAAAAAATAATTAGTATAGCGTAAAGAACAATTAAAATGTGACCATTTATCAAGAATAACATTTTTCGAAATTTCTTTTAATTTTCGAGTTCTGGAAAAAAAATTTTTTTATGTGACAACCCACCATGGTAATTTTTTTAATTAAAGATTATGATCTAAAAAATTACCTCTAATTAAACAGAATTTTTTTCTAGTCAGTACTTTTTTTTAATAAATTGTTAAAGTTGCGTTCCGAGCTCATCACGAAGATTTTCCGAACTTGAACGAGGGAGTCGTTTCATGACTTTGGTCGTTGGAGAGCCCGGTTTTTGGTGCAGGTGCATTGGGGTGGTTCTGGATGGATCAAAAAATGTAAAAACAAATCATTTTCTTCTATTTTTAGTCGATTCGAAACCACCCCAAAGCACCTGCATAGAAATGCATGAAACAACCACTTCGGTTAAGTTCGGAAAATCTTCGTGATGAGCTCGGAACGCAACTTTAACAATTAATTAAAAAAAAGTACTGGCTAAAAAACAGTTTTATTTAATTAGAGGTCATTTTTAGATCATAATCTTTAATTAAAAAAATTACCATGGTGGGTTGCCATTAAAAAAAAAATTTCTAGAACTCGAAAACTAAAAGAAATTTCGAAAAATGTTATTCTTGATAAATGGTCACATTTTAATTGTACTTTACGCTACACTAATTATTTTTTTCGTAAAGTGCTTAGTTTACGAAAAAAACGCTTGGTTCCATACTTTTTATTCACCTGGTATGTATTTCCCCAGTTTTATATACTATAGAATGGAATTCCGAATACTTCAATAAAATGACTTAGGTAATTTCTTCACAATTTTGTTTTAAGCATAAATACAAAATAACTTTCAAAATTTTCTATTTATGAACAACCATTTTTTTATATACCTATCACCACCAGTTAGCAAACTTGACCCGAAAATGCTAAGTAAGATTCTTATCTTAGGAACACAGGGAAAATGTTGAAAAACTATCAAAACAGTTTGACATTAATTTTTGACGGTAGAAAAAATCTTACTTTCAATGATAAATATTTCAACCTTTTTGAGTACTTGTTGTTCCAAAACCCTTTTTGTTGTATAACTACGCATAACATCTTTTGAACCAGAATTGTAATATTTGGTCCTATTTGAAGTTGTTGTTTCAATTATTATTACTGGAACTAAGATAAAAAATATTTGTTCAATTCATGAAGGAAACTGGTTTCATTTTTTTTCTATTTTCATGTATAGTTTTCTTGTATTCATTCTCGTTGAACTTACACCTTACATTTTCGATTTGTTTCCACCATGCCTTCCTTGGATTAAACTTCTGATCGAAATATACTGTGACTTAAGTTGGCAGCATTGAATAATGTAAACATAACACATGTCAATTTTCATGTCTTATTCCATCTCGACATTATTCAATATCGCCAACTTAATTTTAAAATCATAGATCGCTTTGATGAATTTATTTTAATGCATGGTACTTTTTACTGTTTACAAAATAGAAATCTTTATTTACTAGTTTTGTTTATTTTTATAGATATTAGTAGAAGCAAGATGCAATACTTTTTGTTAACTCAACACTCTTCACCACGTATTTATTCAGATACATGTTATTACTGTTTTAGGTCACTGCCTCCGTTTAAATGGTTATTTAAGAAAAAGAGAAGAAGGAACAGGGAATCAACAACAAACACACAAAGTAGTTCATTATCAGAATTTTTAACCAACACTCATAAACGAAAAATCGAAAATACATCAACAACTTTTAATGCCCACGCAGTATTAATTCATTAAAAACCAAAACGTATTATACACCTAAATGTTTTTTATTGTGACTTATAATAATTGTATCTAAGTGTTATAATAAAATATTACAAATCAAATTATGTGTGTAGACATCCTAGCCTCAAACTGAAGTACTAAATTGAGTCAAAATTACAATCAAGGTTACCAGAGACACCAATATCTGAAGAAAACATAATTTAATTGAAAAGTATTTTTTCTGTTGGAATGTTTTACTGAAAAGAAGTGTTCCATGTCTAAGACGTAGAGGCCCATTGCAGTGAAAACAACCTGGTGATTGTACAGTCTCAACGAATAGTTTTTAATTTTTTTTTGTTTAACTGTGTCCATTACTGTAGTCAATCTTGAATACCATAAAACTTTAAAACGTTGAGATTCCAGCATTGTGTACTGACAATTCCACAAGATTACAAGAAGCATAATAACTTGAATCACTGTGTAACTTAAAGCCAACATAATCAGAAAACGCGGACAGTTCTTAGTATTACAAGACCACAAAATAACTAAATGATACATTTCGTATATAGTCCCTAGCAAATACGTTAAAATAGTTAAAAGTAATTGATGACCAAAAAGTTTGTTTATTTTTTTACATAAAAGAACCAACTGCAAATAAATAGAAAAAACAAAATCTAAATTTTGTGTCGAAACCAATAAATGATTCAATTTAGAAAAATCATCTCGAATTATTCTCAATAAGCTCGCAAAAATACAACTACTTGTAAAAATCATAAATTTGATCAGAGTTTGACCAAAATTGATAACAGATGCCTCGTGTAGTGAGTAATAAATATAATAGAATACAAACAAATAAATAAAATAAAAAAAGACAAAAAGCGACTGTAATAAACCTATGAAATCATTTCGACCCATGTTTAGATTATTACTAATGACGTAAAGATTCAGTAACAATTTTTTGAAAGCAGCACTGTTCAAATATCCCACAAGTTGAATGTCTAGAATCGTACAAATTAAAGGAACATTGTAAAAAATACTAACAACGTCGTTTAATGAAATATTTTTCTTTAAAATTTCATAAATATTGATTACAATACATACAGCGATTATACAATCTATTATAATCATTCTTAAAATATAATAATTCTTTTTCACATCAAAAATCAATTTGTATTTTGATGAACTTATTGAGAATGGAAATAAACACAGTAAGTGACTAACTCTTACTAAAAGTTTCAGATAATTGAAATTCTTCATTCGTGGTGCGTCTAGTCAAAGAGATACTTTTTTAATAATAATTTGTAGCATTCACATAACTTAGTTTTAATAAAAAAACGATAAATATAATAAATTGATTACAATACAAAAATTCTGAAAGGATGAAAACGCTTGATAGTGATCTAAAGAACAAATAATAAAAGCACATTTTTCCCTCTGCCTATAAGGCAATTAAGTCTTACTACCATAGCAACATAGCCCTAAGTTGACGATAACATTAGTTTGTATGATGACGAAACTTTTTTCACAGAAGTCCTAGGAAAATTATAATTTTGTCAACTAAGGTGAAAGCTCAAACACATATTTATTATTACACTTCGAATTGAATGGTAAAGATTTTTAATATGTTGACACTAATTTTGTAGTTCAAAGTTGTCTTTAACATAAACTATTCGAACCACGACAACATGACACAGATTTTCTGACACATCAGATCAAATAAAAAAGATTTAAACTTCCTCATTAAAAAACATCAGAATAATCACACCTCTAATTTTTGGTCTATGTCAATACTGGCAAAACAACAAATGTGTTTTTCGTGTACTTAATAGAAATTGATAACATTGTTTAAATGTGCCAAACAGTTGTCAAAACTTCCTTACACGGATAACTTTACTAATAGGAACAAGACAATAGTAGGGCAACTTTTAAAGCCTTTTCTTTTTTCGATCTAGTTTTTTTGTTATTTTAACAAATATTTCATGTTGTGAAATTAAAAAATTCTTTTAATAGATGCAAAAACACAAAAATTACATAAACTCGTAAACGATAAGAATAAAATATTACTTCTAACTTAAGTTAATAACTCAGGTAAGTAATTAATTACTGAAGGTAATCGTGAATTAATAAAAATAAAAGTTGCGAATTACGTCTGAGGCAGCACGTCCATTAAGTAAGATTATATTTTACACAGTTGTATTTCTGGGGAATAAATGTGCTAGTACTGAAAAAAATATTATACAGGGTGTTAAAAAAAATTGTAAAATATTTAAGGAGGTACATAATAGGAATATAAACAAAAATAAACAAAAAAGTCTTAATAAACATGGGTTCCGCAAAGTAACAATTTCAGAGATATCGAATGTGAAAATTTTTAGAATTCTTACTAAAGCTTTTGTTTTTTGTTTCAACAGACAAATAAATGCAATAAATTAAGACTTTTTTGTTTAGACCATATCTACTACCTGCTGAAATATTTTTACAAACTTTTTTGAACTCCCTGTATAAAACACAGTAGAGAAAATTTTTATAGCTTCGCATTTATTATTTTCCAAGATGCGTAGCAAACAAAAGATCTTCAAATTTAAATATGGATAAAAAGTAAAGCAAAACCAAATGAAATGTTGACGATGTCAAACTTATTAAGGAGGTACCTTTTACCTACGCCAATGAAATAAAGCAGTTAAACCAATGCAATTTTATCTTATTAGCAAAGGAAATATTCCAGTGATCTTTAAACCCTGAACCAATGTTTCAGAGTTAAATACAATTCTTTATAATAACAATTCTGTGAGTTTTTTCTTATACTATGTTTACACTCTTCTATTACCAGTTCAATTTTAAACTTACTTTTAAACTTAATTTTAAACATACTGTAAACACCCTGTATTTCAAATATGTATACAATCATAACACATGTTTACACTATTTTTGCTCATCAAATGAAAACACTTTTTTTAACTAATTTTGTGCAATTTGGCATTTTTCTACGTCCTTTGAAATGATTGATGAATTTGATTGTAGGACCCGGAACAAAATACTTGTTCAAATTTGTGGCGACGTTTCGACAATTTATTGTGTCTTCTTCAGACTACAATGGATAGGTACAGTTAATAATTAGTTTAGTATAATAGGAAAATCTCAGAAAATGTCCTGGTACCCCATTTTCAAACAGAAGTACTAAATTGAGTTAAGATCACGATCAAAGTCACCAAGGCACCCAGCAACTAGAAACAGTACCTTACTTAAAATATTCTCGTACTTTTTGTGATTAAACATTTACTGAGAAAAAATGTTCCATGTCCAAGCTGTATAGACCCATTGCTGTGAAGACAACTCGATGATTAATTAGCTGTAAGGAATAGTATTCCAGTTGCTTTTTACCAAATGAGTCCGCTTTTTTAATCAATTTTGAATACCATATAGCTTTAAAATTCTCAGACGCCACCCTTGTAGAGTGACAGTTCCACAAAATTGTAAACAACATAACTTCTTGAATCACTGTATAGCTTAAAGCCAGCAAAATTAAGAAACGTGAACAATTTATAGTTGTGCAAGACCATAAAATAGCTAAATGATACATTTCATAAATAGTCCATATCAAGTAAGTTAAAATAGTTAGGAGTAACTGATGACCATAGAGTTTGTTTGTTTTCTTGCATATAAAAACCAGTTGTGAGTAAACAGACAAGACAAAATCTAAATCTTGTGAAGCATTTAGCAAATTATTAAGCTTTCTGAAATTTCCTTCAATTGTTCTCAATAAGCTAGTATAAGTGCAAGTACTTGTAAAAATCATAAATTTGGCCATAGTAAAGCCAAAGTTAAGGATAGATGCTTCTTGTACTGAATAATAAATGTAATAGATCGTAAATAAGTATATAAAGTAACAAAACACAAAAACCAACTGAATTAAACTGATGTAGTCGTTTCGATTTTTCTCCGATTCATTATTACTAATTGTATAAAGAGTCATTAACAATCTTCCAAATCTAGCTCTGTTCACATACCCAAAAATTTGAATATCAAGAATCGTAATAATTACAGGAGCACTACAAAACATAAAGACCACGTCATTTAACGTAATATTTTTCATCAGAATATTAAAAATGTGTTTCGAAATGCATCCAACAATTAAAAAGTCTAGAAAAATCATTTTCGAAAAATAACGGCTTTTCTTCAAATTGAAAACTAATTTGTTTTTATGTATATCGATGGTGATAGGGAACAAACATATAAAATGACTAACAGTCACTAAAAGTTTCAAATTCTTCATATTGTGTTTACTTTCAAGTTAACATACATGTTGTATCTAATAAAATAAAAATGCTTTTATTGCATGCATTTTATAAAATAATGTAAATTATGTAATTTTAATAATGCAGTTTGATAAATGAAGTTGTTTTTAACATAAAAATATTGTACAGAAGTGAACTGATGGCAGAGATAAGGTAGATAGTAATCTATTATGACAAAGAAAATAATAAAAGCATATTTCCTATGTAAAAGCTGTGTGTTTATTACATGCGTGTAGATCAACTGATAAAACGAAAGACGTACTTATAGCTGTCTCTTTTCAACGTTTGTAAACTGTCGTGTTGCTCTGTCGCTACGTATTTGGGTAAGATCGGATATGTTATTTATGTCACGTTGTCAAATGCAATAAATAATAATAAGTATTCATTTTTTTGAAGGTTTTAGTTTCTGTAATTAAGTCTTTCCTGTCATGTTGACGTTCAGGAACGTCTCCAAGTCAGTAGCGTTTAATGGGTTCTGTAACATGTATATTTGAGAACTAGATTGGTAGAATATATTTTCAATTTTAAATTAGGCGTACAGTAGCGGACAATATAACCGCCTACACTATAAAATCAAGTATACTTAGCACATTTTTTCTAACTTTTTCAATGTGTAAATTTGTCTTTTTCAAAGCATTTTTAGAGAAGAGGTTATACTCCCTTCTTATTTCCATCTCTTCTTCACTCTTAAAATTGTGCTTTTGTTTAAATTCTATTAGTCTGCAACTGCTTTTATCCTATAGCCAAAGTTATAGCCTTCCTCTACAAAAATTTTTTTGGTTTGAGTAAGTTTTGGTATTGCTACTACTTGACACTGATAAGGTTTATGTCATGGTAAGAGTGAAGTAGATAGCCGCGCTAAAGTTTGCTGTCTCTTTATAACGACCTAAGCGCATGAAAGACAACACACCACTGAGCGGCATAACGTTTATTTGCTTATTTGCTCATTCTGCCTTGAAGAGCGAAAGAGACAACAAAGTTTTATGACATTCGGATTAAATTAAAAAAAATTCTTCCTTAGGTACTACAATTTTTCCAATAAACATTTCAATGAATTCAAACTGTCATATTACAATTTAACTTAAACAAATAATTATTTACGTTCTTTTGTGAATTTTGAAGAAACTTAATATGCACCTCGACACTAAAGTAATTTTTCATTGTTTAATCAGAACATTTTTCTTTGGATATAACTTTTAACTTGAAATTATTAAAATAATTCAGCTGTGATGAAGAAAGTGATAATTAATATCTGACCATTCATCAAAACTTTTATGCGTAGTGCATCCAAGAATAAATGATAATTTTCGTTTCACCTTATCAGCTTATCACTTAAAATATTACCTACGCTAAACGCAGTCTTAAAGAAAAGCGACATTTTTTTATTAAGATGAATTTTAAAAACTGTATTTTATCCTTACTTACTCCTACCACAATTTGTTTACACACGAATATTAAATAATACGTTTATAATTTACGTAACTATAGGTTGTACATTATGCTACTCATAAATTACACCCGTGACTTATTATAAATTAATAATGACTTATCATAAATCGAAAGTATTTCAAAGACTGTATTTCAGTACCTATTTCATAGTAAGTATTTCAGGCGATTAAAAAACTCGTCTGCGACTCGTTTTGTAAACTATACCTTCGTGAATAACAGCCATCAGTATTTGCTTATTGAATAATATACTAGGTAATATAAGATGCTAATATAAGTCATTTTAATTTTTTTAATAAAATTGACTATTTTGATAACATTTTAACTGATTACTTTTTAGATAGGATTTTAAAACACTAGTTTGGATTGGGCAAATCCTCTTGGATTCGCAAATGTTTTGTAAAAGTAGTTGTTGGCATAGTCGCTCGTACTTTGTGTAGGACTGACTCATAGTATCTGATTCGAAAACTGTCGAAATTGTCGGGGGCTTCGCCCTCGAGTAGAAACTCACACTACCTGCTTCGCAAATGTCGACATTGTCGGGGGCTTTGCCAACGAATAAAACTCACACTAGGTACCTGATTTTAAAATTGAAGAAATTATCGGGAGCTCCGGCCTCGAGTAGAAAGTAGAACTCATACCATCTTATTCGCAAATGTTTTGTGAAAACACTCAAAACTCGCCCCCGTGTAAACACTGTAAACCTCTCATTATCGGATTCGCAAATGTTTTTTAGAAATTCTGGAGGGCTCACACTATCGGACTCGCAAATGTGTTATTCAATTAAAACTGTACTTTGTCTGTATTTGTTGGCATGTATTATTAATATTATTTTAGAAACGTCTGACTTAGAAACTTTTCTAACCTCAAATTTGAAATACCCCTCAATAGCTTATATACAGGTGTCCGTTTTTCGAGCTCCAACATGGGGATCTCAATTATTATAAGAGACGAGGTCGGTTAAATTAGGGCAAAGTTGCACATTTTTATGGTGAACAATTATCTGAAAGAAAATTTAATGTGTCATTTTTAGTTTTTGGCGAAATTTTTAATTGTCGTTTTTATTTTTTTAAGCGAAAACTAGCGAAGCGAAGTCCTAGACGTTTTGAACTATAACGTTCTTAAGGCACTTTTTTACAAGGAATTTAAATCTGTCATCGTATTTTCCAAGGCGCTCTTGATATCAGAGTTACAACACTCAACTTTGGATTTTCACATTCAATTTCTGTATTTTCGAAAAGTCTTTTTGTTCCTGATTACAACGGTGTTTCACACGATATGATCAAATTTGACATGCTGATCAAAATTTGTTTAATAAAACGAATGTCTATAGAAATTTATACACGTGTTTCATAGGTACTATACTTTTGCTACGACGACCACAAAAAATTACTTAAATTAAAAGTTAAATTAAATGACATAACTTCAGCCCGTGATTAATACGACAGTTGCTATAGCAACGTAACTAATACGCATATTAGTGACGGCTTGTCAAGATGTATATCAAAGATCAGGTCATCCGTGTTTTAGATGTGGGAGTAGAAAAAAATAACTTTTTACACAAGTGTGAGAGCGTTCAAGCTATCACGTTTTAGTAAGGTATACTAACACAATAACTGCTCTTCAAGACTTCATACATATTCTCAGCTCTAAATTTTTGTTTTTTATAATTTTTGTTTTTCTTCTTTTAAATAATAATAATTAATAATAATTAATGTATGTATTATGTTTGTTGTTGGGATAAAAGATGATGACATGTCCCATACTGTAAGAAAATATACTAAATTTACTTTATACCTTATTGGTGTACAAAAACTAACATAATTCTAGATCATATATTTTAAAATTTTATGCATATCTATGCCGAAAATAATTTTATGTTTCAGTAACGTTATAATTGAGTCTTTTGCGATAAGGTTAATGTTCTTGATAATTTTTATAACTACTTTAGAAATTGTTGATAGTGAATACAGTGTGGTTTCATTTTAATTATCTTTAATTTACTAAAAAACATAATTGTTAACAATTGTCATTGCTAATCCTATACAATTACTTCACTGTGCTCTAAACCTCTCGCTTATCTTTGCTGGTTCGTTGTTATTAATTAATGAACCATGAGCATCACGTCATAAGCAAAGCAACGTGTGTTGAATTTAATTATCGATATGAAGAGTCATAAAAATTATTAATATAAAAATGTGGTCTACCAAGATATGTGCAGTATTAATTTACCTGTCAAGCCTCTTCAACAGTGTACTTAATTTAAATGAAGGTGAGAGATTGATTTTTTTGTGACATCTTCAAATAGTCTGTGAAATATCATTGTTATGAAGTCACAGTTGTCGGCTTAGAGATATCAAGTTTTAGTTTAGTTCAGACTTATTAGGAATCAAGGTCAAAAATGTTGTAGAAATATAAATGCAAATGTGTTGAATTATTTTTAAATAAGTATAATAATAATTAATAAATATTGTATGCCACTTTTCTGTATAAAGAAAAGTCTATGTAAACTCAATTTTATAAATGTAAAAGTATCTTTTCGAAATTAGGTTAATACTGTAGATTAAAAATACAACAGCTGTGTTATCAACTTATCAGTCAAAATTTTAAACTAATTATAAAACATAAAAAATTCTCTTCTGTGGTTTACTAAAACGTCGACTAATGTTTGGAGCACAAGTAAGAAGTTAATAAAAAGTAGAAAATAAAGTGAAACGATTATACATATCACAGGAAACATCTGTAAGAAAAATAATAGTGTGCAAAAGTAAACAATATTCAATTTAAGTTATTAATAATTTCTTATTTATAACTTAGACAAAAAAAAACTATTTTTTGGGGACACCAAAAGCCTTTTTTCCGATTAAGCTGAGATGTAGGTGCGAGTAGGTTTGTTATTTCATATTAATGCTTATTACGCTGATACAAGGTGGATAAAAAATAGAGTAAAGCATTTCTTTGGTTAAAATATTAACTTACTGAAAACAATAATTGGTAAAAAATAAAGTGCCGTACATGTTTTATTTGCCATTTCAAAAAATTTATAAATTTTTCAGAAGTCAAAAAAACAATATTTTTGAGAAAGTATTACATTTTTATAGGACTTTATCAATTAACTCCACGTATAAAAATGTCAAAAATGATAAACATATATACCATGTTGTTAAAAACATTTTAAGTGCCGCCGTCCCTCTTGGAACATAGTAGAGATTGATATTTTTACAAATGACTTAAAAATATTATTCCAAATTCGGTGTTTCAACTTAAATAAATAACTAAACAATATAAATAATAATAATAATAATATAAATAACATAAATAAAGTTATCTCTTAAGAAAAAGGTAACACATTTAATTGTATTTGATAATGTTGAAATTTTGAAAAACGCCCAACGAAATAAATTTTAAAAGCACATATGCTAACTTGTTTTATGACTATCTGAGCGGTGATTTGACTCTTTTGAATCACCGTATACGAATTAACAATAAAATAATTTTCAGACAGATTTTACTGGTTGAATGAAGGCAAAAATGATATCTACACTGCTCTTAACTTAGAAAAAATTGAAAAACCGTCAAAAAATGTTATTCTATTTATTGGTGATGGAATGGGTTTAACAACAACTACAGCATCAAGGATCTATTCCAAGTCTGAGAGTGGTTTTCTGTCTTTTGAAAAATTTCCTCACATAGCAACAATAAAGGTAAGTTACAGTCCGTTTTTTATATGCGTGTGGATCAATTAATAATTCGAAAGACGTACCAGGCAGCTATCTCTTTTCAACATTCGTCTGTCACGCTATTTATCTCACTTTAACAAATGTTATTACTAATGACAAATGCGATTAAAGTAACGCAGAGCTAGTGACGTATGTAAACGTCAAAAGCGAATGTTGTCGTCACGTAGAAATTTTGTAATTCCATTTTTTATGAAGAAAACTGTTTTAAAGCTAATATTTATGCCCTCCATATCATCATAACAATCATAATTCAAGCTTTATAAAAACCTTACGCCAATTTTTTTTATTTTAAAACCAAAATGTCAGAAGCTGTCAAATGTCAAAAACAGACGGAGGTCATGTCGTGTTCTTAATTCACACTTCCCCATCCGCAAATAAAATAAATAAACTTTAGAGAACTAAAGTTAATGTGACGAGAACGTCACCCTGTATTACTCACTTACTTCATTATAAACATCGAATATGTCATTATTGTGTATTGTATAGGGTGCTGCATTTTGGATGTCCGAATAGGGAATCTCCGAAACTAAGATGTTTAGTCAAAAATGAGTAATACATTCTGGGGCTTATTTTTTAAGAAAATAATATTGGTTAAAACTGCATCTCGCTATAGTCTTTTGTTTTCGACTTACAGACAAAAGTTGACATTTTGAAATCTAAAAAAAATCATATCTTTGTTATTATACTAGATACGGATTTGAAATAAAGACATTATACAGGCACTTTTTTACGAGGAATTTAATAATGTAGTTAACTATTTTTTTCAGTTATTTGTTTAGCCATAATAAGATAAACTTGTATTTTTTTTAATGGAAATCATAGGCGGCTATGGCACTTTTGAAAAGTTTATTTTTTTCTGATCTAAAAAATATATATTTGTAACAGAATATTTTTTATAATTATACTTAAAAAATGAAATACATATTTTGTTTAATAAAGTTGGCCATGGAAAAACTATTTCACTCCAAATGTGTAAATAATAATCAATCAGAGTTTTGTGAACTGTGAAATAGATGAAAAATAGATAAAATTATTAAAATTTAAAAAATACGATACGTTAGAAGTATTGAACAAATATGTGAGCGCCTCAGAATAAAATTATTACATAATACATATTTTTAAAAAATCCAAAAATAGGAAAAACAAATGTGCAACAGTCAACACAATTAGAAAAAACATTTTTTTGATGGTCTAATGGACGTAGGATAACGTTCCACATAGACCAAATTTGAGTATTTGAATAGCCATATCGTCATTTTTGTGTCATATATCTAAAATATATTTTATTGAAGAATTAAAGCGGTTTTTTTTACAACACTCTATTTGTCACTAGAAGTTGGTAATGTTAGCTTGTTTAAAAACAAAGAAATGTTATTAGTCGCCAATAAGATGATTTACGAATTATTTTGCATTGCAAAACTTTTTCATTAGTGACACTTATTAAATAATGTAGTTTAAATCCTTTTAGTTAAAGATGCAACACTCTTCCATGGCCAACTGCGAACAAAAATCAAAGATAATTTTTTGCTAAAAATGTATCATAATAATCTGTTACAAATATAGATTTTTTAGATAAGAAAAAAACAAGCTTTTTAAAAATGACATAGCCATCTATGATTCCCATTTAAAAAATATAAGTTTATCTTATTACGGCTAAACAAACAACTGAAAAAAAATGTTAACTACATTATTAAATTCTACGTAAAAAAGTGCCTGCATAATGTCTTTATTTCAAATCTGTGTCTTCTATAATAACGAAAATATGAATTTTTTAGATTTCGCTAAAATGTCAATTTTTGTCTATAAGTCAAAAACAAAAGACGATAGCGGGAAGCGGTCTTAACCAATATTATTTTCTCAAAAAATGAGCCTCAGAATGTATTACTCGTTTTTGGCTAAACCTTTTAGTTTCGGAGATTCCCTATTCGGACATCCAAAATGCAGCACCCTGTACAAGGCAGATAGTTTGTCTAAAACTCTAGTTTCAGCAAGAGAAAGCGTTTCTATAATACAACAGTATTGTACTGAAGACCTTTGAAACAACCAATTTCAAAGCAGATTCAATCAAGTATGCTCATTTTTCAGACTTACAACGCTGACAAATTGGTTCCCGATTCAAGCAGCACGGCCACCGCCCTTTTTTCTGGTGTGAAAACCAATTTGAAAACGTCAGGCGTTGATTCTAGTGTAAAATTAGACGACTGTGAAGCCTCCCTAAAGCCAGAAGCGCGGATTGACGGCTTAATGAAATGGGCACAAGAGTCAGGAAAATCTACTGGATTCGTAACAACTACGCGCATCACTCATGCCACCCCCAGCGCACTTTACGCTCACACTCCCAACAGAAACTGGGAATGTGAAAGCACGATACCAGAAAATTCGAAACGATGCAAAGACATTGCCAGACAATTGATTGAAGATGAGCCGGGAAAAAACATAAATGTTGTGATGGGCGGAGGAAGACAGTGTTTACAATCAGGAGTTGAAGATAGACCAGGTGATCCTGTTGATAGATGGGCGTGCTATAGTACAGATGGACGAGATTTAATTCGAGATTGGGAGTTAGACAAGAAAAGAAGAAATAAAAGTTATGCCACTCTGACAAATAATGAAGAACTGGAGAGGGTAGATACCAGCAAAGAATTTGTTTTAGGTAAAATATTTTATAATGACAATAATATACCAACTGATCTATGTATTATGATGACCCTCACAAACATAAAATTCTACATAATGCCTTTACATGTAAGGGTCGTCATTTTATGTAAATCAGATGGTAAACAGGGTCTTCCGGGTCAAACCAACATTGGAAGTATTGGAAGTTCTGACAATGATATTTATCTAAAAATTTGTTCATGGCCATAATCGGATTAATCCTGTTCAGTGAAAATATTTCCAAGATGGCAGTACTTTTGATTATACCGGAAGTGGGTATCAACTTCGTCACTTTAAATAGGAAGCTATATTTTTACTGCTTTTTTGGATTACTCAAATGATTTTGAAAGAGCATTAATCAGCCTTCCGTATACCTAAGTTTAACCGTTCTCCGCCAATCGCACAACCTCTTACGTTATTTTCCTAACCGCACAAGTGAGTTAGGAAAATAACTCGATTCCTTCAATATCGTCAACTTTGACTGTATTTTCCCTGTTTTAATTCTAATCTTTTCTTAGAGCATATCTACAGTATGTCCCCGGATTGAGTTTACAAGAGGAATTTTTTTTAAATCTTTTTTCGACAAAGGAATAAAGTTTTTGCTTTACTTGAAACAAGCAGTTTTAGCGTAAAATCAAAAATCAATTTTTTTTTCCTCTTGTAAACTCAATCCGGGGCGATGCTGTACATTAAACATGTACATTCAATCTTATTAACTTTTACACAGGAGTTTTTGCAAATGGGCACATGTCAATGGATTATGCACGAGATAAGTCACCAACGGGTATGCCTTCTCTCACAAACATGACAAAAAAAGCAATCGAAATCTTAAATCGAAATTCAAAAGGATACATTTTGGTAATAGAAGGTGGTCTTATTGACTTTGCCCATCACAGAGGCAATGCTAGAAAAGCCCTAGATGAGACAGTTTCACTTAGTGATGCAGTTCAGCTAGCTGTAGAAAAAACCAATCCACAAGACACATTAATTATAGTCACCAGTGATCATTCCCACTCTTTGGTGTTTACTGGGTATTCTTCTAGGAACACTAGTGTTTTAGGTAATAGATTTTATTCCGTATTATACCAGATTTTAGTATATGAATTTCAGACATTGCGCAAAAGTCAAAAATGGACCAGATTCCTTACACCTCTTTGCTCTATGGAACTGGTGGTCCAAATAATTATCAATTTTTAGTTATTAATAATACCGTTTCAAGAAGAGATCCTTCATTGAACAATACTACAGATTTTGAATATTCACAACAAGCTGTTGTTTTAACAGACGAAGTTACTCATGGTGGAAGTGATGTTTTGGTCTATGCTAAAGGTGATATTTTAGGAATATCGTTTTGGTGAATTTTAGAGAGAGCAAAAAGTGGCCATCAATTAATTTTTTTTTATTGGAGGAACTGTTGTGTATACGCTCTATTAGTGTGACGTCAGCAAGGTACGTGAGTGTACCTTTGAAGCTAAACAAATAAAAGTTTATTTCTTGAATCCTGGACGTGTAGGGAGATTGTTTCTAAGGAAATAGTTGCTATGAAAAATGTGTGTCGTTTCGTAATGGTTTTAACAATTGTAGTCAACATTTCTGTAATTTAATCTGTTCTAACCTCACTTTCTGTGTACGTCAAAAATATGTGTACAGCATTGCCAGAATGTTGCAAACGACAGGAGTGGATAGGTCGTACCAAAACAAAACAAAATAAAAAATATTAACATTCACATAATGTGTATTTGGCTGAGAATATAAATTATTATTTGTTTACAAGTAAATATAAATATCTAGTAAAAAAAATCGAGTATCAATTTGGTACTCTAGTATCACAACTGGCGGCAACACTGTATGTTTAGCTTCAGTACAGTCGCGTCTGTGACGTCACGTCTAATAGCCCGTATTGTGATTGGCGAGGTATTTTAGGTACTGTCAAACAAAATTTGTTTACAAAGGAGCATGCTTAGGCTTAAAAAGATCTCATTAGTGGCCATTTTTTGCTTTTAGTTTTTTGTTTCAATTATATAATAAAATGTAATCTCTCAATTTTAGGTCCTATGTCTCATTTATTTCACAACGTCCACGAACAGACATACGTTGCTTACGTAATAAGTTATGCAGCAAAAATTGGTCCATTTAAAAGTGAAGCTTCATCCCTTAATTACAGTAATTTGTTTTTAAGCATCTCTGTATTATTAGTACTAAAAAATAATTTTCAATGTAGCCTTCGTTAAATAAAATTTCCTGGATCCGGACCTGTGTTTTTAAATTTGACAGCCACATAACCTCAAAAGTTGTATGATGATGTAACCTCACTTTTTATACAAGCGCTATGGTTATGTTAATGAAACAAATTTTAAAATGCAGCAAAACTGCTTCTTGTATGCGACATTATTCAAATCGAAACATTTTAAGACTGAAAGAGCGAGGAATGTTCCAAGACATTTTCCCAGACACAGCGACGTAAGTGAGTTCTTAAATTTTTTCAAAACTGAGGTTATAGAACTTAAAATATAGAAACCCGGTGACGGATTTATTGAATGCAGCCCCACAACATGTTTATGCCGGATTTGACCCCACCGCTGACAGTCTTCATATCGGAAATTTACTGGTTCTTATTAATTTATTACACTGGCAGCGTGGTGGCCACCAACCCATAGCACTGGTATGTTTTATGAAATTAATTTTTTCAATACATATTTGTGGAAACAGATCGGGGGTGCAACCGCCAAAATTGGCGACCCAAGTGGCAAGACTTCAGAAAGAGAAAAATTAGCAAGTGTGTTTGTTGATGAGAATGTGATAGGAATTAGGAACAACATAGAAAGGATTTTTTATAATCACGAAAAATACCTATGGAAGCAGAAAGAAAAACTGGCTCCTTTAACGTAAGGATTTTCAAAATACAATTTATGGGTATTTGTTCATTTTATCTTTGACTTGATTTTTTTCATAAAATTTTGAAAGATAATCTATTGTTTCATTTAAATTGATTTATAAACGCTTTGTAAAACAAAACGAAACCTTAAACTGAAACGCAAAATTTAAGATATTGTTTTCAGAATCGTCAATAACGAATCATGGTATAGTAAAATGTCACCCATTGACTTAATTGGAGGTGCGGGTCGATATTTGAGAATGGGAACATTATTAAGCAGAACAAGCGTTCAAACACGACTTCAATCCCCAGCTGGCATGAGCTTTACTGAATTTAGTTACCAATTGTTTCAAGCTTATGATTGGCTGCATCTATTTAAGAAATACAACTGCTCATTTCAAATTGGTGGAAATGATCAAATGGGTAATATTATGTCCGGACACGAACTCATCAGTAAAACATGCAACAAACAAGTTTATGGTAAAATAGTGCTGAAATATAGGATGACTTACAAATCTTACGACCCTAATGAACTTCAAATGCAACCAGTAATACATTTTTTATCAGTTGAGGTGTTTTTTCACAGTCAAATGTTTGAGTAATTGCATCTAAAGTTTCTAAGGGTCGTAATGTTATGTGAATCACCTTATAGATTATCTAGAAAAGAAATGATTTATAGGTCTAACTGTTCCAATAATTACAAGTGAAATGGGCGACAAATTCGGAAAATCGGCTGGAAACGCCATGTGGCTCTCCCCCGAGAAGACCTCTCCTTTCACTCTCTACCAATTTTTCGTCCGTCAGGTTGATACTGAAGTAGAAAAAATGTTACAGTTATTTACATTTGATCCAATTGGGAGTATAAAAGATCTCATGAGACGCCACAATGAAAAACCTGAATTGCGACTACCTCACAAACACCTTGCTGAACAAGTGGTGCTATTAGTACACGGTGAGAAGGGTTTAGCAGCTGCACAAAGAGCGACAAGAGCTTTGTACGAACGAAGCATTGCTGCACTTTCTGAAATGAACCCATCAGAAATAAAAAGTTTATTTGAAGGAGCCACAGTTGTAGAAATTTTACCAGAGCCCGGACAAAGTGTACTGGACTTGGCAATAAGGGTTGGTTGTTTTCTTACTAAAGGTACGTTTTTTCCAAATACATATTTATTTATTTAAATATTGTGTTTTACAGAAGATGCAGTCAGAATCATTTCTGCTGGGGGTTTTTACATCAATCACCAAAAAACAAACAATCCTAGTGAAGTTTTAAACTTAAATGTTCATAGATTAAGCAATAATGTAACATTACTTAGAGTAGGTAAAAGGAACTATTATGTAGTGAAATGGCTTTCATAATAAAATTTAACATTTAATAATCTCAATCATTTTTGCGGCAAGAAGTCGTACATGATCTTCATGAATTCTAGTGTGTTTAGTAACATCGGCCAAAACCGTGTCCACATCCAATACGTGTCTATAGTGAGTTAATTCAATTGCAGTTATTAAAACACTTACGGGAATATAGAATTTGGAGGAAATTAGGTGTTGGAATACAACCATACATTCCTTACTTTGGCTATAAATCTCTTTCAGTTGCTTAAACCATTTTTTCCTTTCAAAGTAAACGTATTCAAGAATGTTTAAACAAAGTGGCCGAATACTTCCTTTTAATCTACTTTCACTCATATACTTCTCAATAATTACGTCCATATCATCTAGAACCGTTGTCATCTGGATTTTGCCATTAAGGGTGATTAGAATATCGCCTTCCATTCCCAGTACTTGCTTCGCATTGTAATACTTCTGTGAGAGATGGAACAGCAAGTCCACAACGTGTTTTATTTTCAGACTTTCTAGCGCTCCTTCGCATTTATGGCAAATAAATGCGATTGTTACAGCTGCCAAAAGCGGATCCGTAATCTTCTGATTCTTGGATATTTTTGCACGGAGATAATTTTCAGCCACTTCGATACTCATGATGAAGACATGAGAACTTTGTTCGAAAGTGTCACAGATTTGTTTGAAAAATTTGACGGTGTTTTCCCCAAGGATTGGCTCGTTGTACATATCACGTTTTTTTCCAATGTCTAAGAACCAGTGTAATAATAAATCGGATTCGTTTTCTAGGCACATATTTGAAATCATGACGTTTGAAAAATGTCAGAAAAAAGTTTAGGCGCAGTGTCACCAACCGCAGCACAGTGGTGACACTAATTAAAAATGTTGGCTAAATAAACATTTTAGATCAAAATGTTAGAAATTAAATTTGAAATTGTGTATGACCACACTTACGAAATTTGTTTGAGTAAATGGAAAATTTTTTAGTTATAATTAATTAATTACTGACAGAATAAAAAAATATATCAACGGGACGGAGTCTTACATAAGGGTAAAACGCAATTGAATGATGTTATTCAGAAAGTGGCCATGTTTTCGTTAAGACAACCCTCCGCTGACGGCAACTACACTTGAGTACGCTGCCCCATGATTCGACACACACACAAAAATTATCTAACTTTTTTTAAAACAGGAAGTAACGCAAACCTACTTGATTTTTAACGCTAAATAGAATAATTTAAAATTTTGTAGGATTAAAAAGGTGTACAGTTGGAGACAGAATACTTTGGTCGTCACTTTTCTGACACTTAAATGTGATTCAAGCTTTAATGAATGACAATTTCAAATTATATCTTTCTATCAAAAATATGTACAACTTGTCAACTATGATTGACAGTAGCTAAAAATAAGGTTAACAGTCCTAAAGCATGCTTTAGAATTTAATGTCACTCAAGTGTCATTGACGACCAAAGTATTTTGTCTCCAACTGGTACAGTTGCGGAATTAAAATTTTGGGCAATAGTGTCATTTTCATAATGTAAACTCTAAAACAACCTTCACATTAATAACCTCATTTTTTCTCTTGTCATGTTTATCTCATTTTGACTTAGCTATTTACTTTGAAAAATAACGTCACCGACAGAAAAGTTTAATTGTCAAATGTCAGTCATGATAACAGTAAAAGGTAGTTTACAGTGAACTTTTTGAAGTGACAGAAAAATACTGGCCGAAATTTTAATTCCGTAACTGTACAATAAAAGGTAAGGTTTAGACCCATAAAACCTAATATGGATATTTTTAGAATTAAAAACTCTTTCAAATAAGCGCATAATATACCGGGTGTTCTATAAGAAAAAACATAACTTTGTTGCGCCACCCTATATAGGAATTACGTCTAATGACGAAATATGTTTGGATCATAGAAAAAATCAATGTCTATCGTTCAGAAGAAACCGCATTTCGTTATCTTCTTTACTGTCAGAGTAATCGAAGAAATACGGAGCTCTGGGACAACCTGTGTGTATAAGTGTTAAATTCCCATTAACAAAGGCCTTTAGAATATTGAAAATGAATTGTTGTTGCTGTCCAAATATTTTAATACATTTTCTGTGCATACAGAAAGTCCTGAAGGACTAATCCATATTATTTAAGTATTTAGTATTTAGGTATTTACATAAATGAAGAACTTTTAGCCCAGTCAAATTAGACAAATATAGGGCGATTGGTGAAAAAAATCCTCGAGAGTTGTTTTTTTAACGCTTTCTTTATACTTGGGTAGACATATATCAAAAGACCCCCAAAGATGGGGGCTGAGCTCGAGGAGGAGGAGAGGGTTAAAGATGTCTTTTTTTGGTTTTTTGCTTATATCTCGGAAACAATCACTCTTATCGGCTTTTACCTTGTTCTCAAAATTAAAGCTTACAAATTTCCTACAAAAATGGTCCTTTGCATTTTTGTTGTAGGACTAACCGTAAGCGAGTTATAGGGCTGACAAGAAACAACATTAAAAAAAAATGTGTTTTGTCCGCATTTAGAACAGAATTAATCTTGTGATTTCAAAAAACTGACTGACAGTAAATTGAATTTATTGGGTGCAACACTTCATTAGAGAATCTTCCGAGTCGTCCTCATATGCTGCATCTCGTCTTCAATTTAAACATTGAAAACCGAATTACAGTCTTGTTCACCAATTTTCGAAAAATCTTATTTTAGTGCTGTTTATATCTCTGTTTAAACGTTTACACCCCAATTCATCCCCTTAAAGATTGATTCTCTTTTTCTTCCAAAATTTTTATTTATATCTCCATTTAAATGTTTACACCCGAGTCACGTTTCAGGCAGACCAGCTTAGTTGGGGAACGCTCTACACATATAAATACTTACCATATCGTAATGAAATGTGTTTCGAAGGATTTTTAATGCAATTTTATCTAGACTCCAAACTTCAGAAGCATACGGTTAGTCCTACAACAAAAATGGGACCATTTTTGTAGGAAAATTTGATGCAGAAACAAACTTCTACAGAAAATTCTGCATAAATTACATGAACAATGAGTTTGTATTCATAGACCCTCGTGACTCCCTCTCTCCTTTAATGAAGTATTGAACCCAGTAATTTTAATTTACTCTCAGTTTTTTCGAATTGTAAGACTAAGGGCCAGTTTCATAATCGTATTAAAAAGACTTTAAAGTTAATGTTGGTTTAGATTGTGATTATCAGGGATTTATTGATAAAAATGTCACATTCTAAACTAACATTAATTTTAAAGTCCATTTAATGCGATTATGAAACTGGCCCTAATTCTGTTTTAAATGCGGATAAAGCACATTTTTTTAAATGATGTTTTTTGTGAGCCTTATAGTTTGCTTATGGTTAGTCCTACGAGAAAAATACAAAAACCATTTTTGTAGGAAATTTTGTAAGTTTTAATTTTGATAAGAGAGTAAAAACCGATAGGAGAAATCGTTTCCGAGATATAAGCAAAAATTAAAAAAATGACACCTTCAACCCCCTCCCCCTCCTCGAGCTCGCCACCCACCTTCGGAGACTTTTGATATACAGGTGCGCCAAAACTCGCGCCCCAGATAAATTTTTTAAGTAAGGTAAGATACCAGGAACATGAAAAAAATGTTTAAAAAACTCTATCTGTCAAAAAATTTTGACGTTTATTTTTTGACATATGAATTTTTTTATGTCTATTTAATGATACTGATGATCTTGTATATGTTTTTTAGTAAAAAAACTTGTAAAATTATTTTCCCAACAGAAATAAATAGTCAAAGTGCAAACTTTAAACCCTCATAACTTCGAAATTTTTATAGATAAGTAAAATTTTTTTTTGGCCTCCTGACATGTAAATGTCAAATTAACGTACAATTGACACCTATTGAAAGACTGTATTTACAGTCGCCTGAGCATTTTACGCACAGACGAGTGTAAAGTGACAGTTTTACCGCACTGCCAAAATTATCTTCATAGACTTTTATAAAAAAAAACTGTTTGTAAGATGATAACATTTTTAATAAAACGCTCTACACACAACCTTTCAATCTTAGAACTCTTTTTTCTTCACACCACTTTATAATTATAAACACATTGTACTGTGCTTCATACCTTGCTCGCGATTTTTCGGGCAATAGCTCGGTTGTAACATTTCCTGCAGCACTTCTGATTTCTGGTGGGGTACACATGGGGCTATTATCGCTCGACATTTTGAAGCATAAATTCACCAACAAGACAACAATAACAAAACTTTGTGTCTGAGACGTTTTTGCGTCTTTTTTAATTGTTTGACATTAGAGTGCATAGCCACCGTGATATTTAATGTCAAACGTATTTACTTGTATTAATTCTGAATTTTGTAGATTTTTGTTTAAACGTCGGCCAAAAAGCTTAATACAAATCTTGTGCGTTAACCATTTTACAGTGCTCAATTATTAAAGCACTCCGCTGCGCGTCGTGCTTCAAATTCATTTCGCACTGTAAAATGTAAGTTACCGCACACGAATGTAAATAACTATTAACATTTTTTCCATGTTCCTGGTATCTTACCTTATATGGCATTTTTCTCTGGAGCGCGAGTTCTGGCGCACCTGTATGTCTGCCCAATTGTAAAGAAAGCGTTTAAAAAAATCCAACTCTCTAAGATTTTTTTCCACCGATTTGTCTAGGTTATTTATTGAAAATGAGCATTTATCAAAATAACAAGATCAAGTGCCTTAGTTATAAAAGGTTACAACTCAGGTAAAATGTCAAAATGCCATCAGCTGATTTAGATAAATTTAGGGAAAAAGTTTCAAAAGCCAAACATGACCATTGTGGTACATTAGATGAAAACGGATTTCGAAATGGACCAGGCTGTGAGAAGTGGCAGAAAGAAAATGCTTGTCAAAATTATACTGGTCAGTTTCTTTACAACAATTTACATAATAGAGGAGTATACCTAAATGATAAGAAAGGTAATCAAACTTATATGGATGGTTTATTTTTTGCAAATAAACTGGAAGGTTATGGGCGTGTAGTATGTGCAGACAACACCGTCTTTGAAGGTTTATTTAAACAACATGTTCGTTTTGGTCCTGGCGTTGCAACTCACATGGATGGATCCCAGGATGTCGGAATCTGGGATGGTTTTTCATTGATAAAATTGTGTATTTGCGTTGGAGACGATTTTGTGCCTCGTTTGGGAAAAAGTCCTTCAGGGAAGGCTAGCCTATTACAATTTCGTTCAATGGTACCCATTTGTTTTAAACCACCAGATCCAGCTAAAGAAATCTTGACTCGATTAGATGCCAGTAAAGAAATTTTATCAAAGTCAGATCATCTTTACAATATTCACGTCAAAAATCCTCGCAGTCTATTTTTTAACAATGTTATGTACCAAAATATTTTTTTCACTGATGAAGAGTGTACAATTGATGTATTAATCTCTAAAGAAGAATTTGAAGAAGAGGTGCACAATTTGTACTACGTGCAAGAAAATGAAAATGAAATATCTACATCAACAGCTGAATGTGCTTGTTTTCAAACAAATCTAGACCGATTTGGCCACATGTGTGTACAATTGCAAGAAGTGGAATTGAAACTGGAAAAAATTGCATCCAACAAAGCACGTATTGAGGAAAAATTAAGTCAATGCAAATATTGTTGCGATCACATTGTTGTTCCTAACAAACCAAAAATCTCCTCAAAACGCCATAAAAAAGAAATGTTAGAAACTGAAATGATTGAACCGGAAATTAAGGAGAAGTGTGCAACTCAAAAAAAGGATTCGCGTAAAGTGTTATCATTTTATGCTTCTTCATCGATGGCATCGGAAGCTAGTGAATGTCACAATGGAACAAGGTCTGAAATTGAATTAAAAAATTACTTGTATTTCAACGAGTCATCAGCATCTAATGAAGAACAAATTGTGCAAACAGCAGGTTGTCCCTTACGCGACAAATCTTCGGGAGTTACCTTACCGTTCAGTTATTGGGATAGTGACTCAAGTGATTTGCAAGGTGATAAACCTCACCATATGAATGATCTTGACATGTATTCTAAGTATATGGAAGAGGGCGAGGAAATTACTGCTAAACCTTCACCACTCTATGAGTGTTTCTGCATCGAAAAGTTAATTGAAAACATTAATGTCCTAAAGGATCAACTTCAGTTAATCGTAGAAGAGGAGATGTTTTACAACACAGTTAAAACTACCATCAAGAATCACTTAGATATAGAGTTTACCAGACTAAATCAAATATCAGAAGAGAGAACGAGATTCATAAAAAAAGTTGCAGTAACTGATTTGTTAGCATGGAATAACGAAAAGTTATGGATAACAATGCTTCAGCATTGTTTTCGTCACAGACTTTCAGAAAATAATGTCCGATTTAATGTATCTGATTTATTAACAGGACAGAGACAATATTTTCAAAGTGCTGGAATTTATGAAACTAAATGTAAAACTTTCCTGGAAGAATGTAGCGAAGGTAGTGAACAAAACATCTTCAACTACATTAAAACCTTCAACATAAATCCTGATCTTTGTGATGCTAGAGGAAATACAGGTCTTATGTTAGCTACTATTAGAGACAAAATTAACTGTATTTCAATGTTGGTTAATTGTGGAGCAAAAATAGATATAATGAATGACGAGGGCCTGACTCCATTAACAATTTCTCTACTTAAGTATATTTCTTTTAAATTCTTAGTGACAGATTGGGAAAAAGCTTTCTTAAAATTTCAAACACCTGTTTATCAACATTTATTCCATACCCAACAATGGCGCACCACTGAATCACTGATAAGCGTTTATAAAGATATTCCGAACGATCAAAGCAAAACAGGACTGGAAATACAACTCCCATCTAACGGCTCATTTTGTGATTCTAAAACAATAATAAATTCTGTGAATTTAGATAAAGAACAAAAATATATTTTTAACACTGATTTTATTCGTGTAAACGAAAAACAAGTAACTGCAAAGAAAAGCAAGGTACCAAAGAAAAAAGCAAACCTGAAGTCTGGAAAGAAGAAATTAAAGAAAAAGGATATTGTTAAAAATCTGAATGAAGAAAAAAGTAACAATGTCAACAAAAAAGACGACAATCAGAAAAACGAAAACGAATTGAAAACAATCAAAAAAACAATTTTAACACTGCTGTGTCATGGTGCTGATCCTCGTATCGGTGACGTTCCCTTGAAACCAATTTTTTTATCAGTTTTTACTGATGACTCCGACCTCTTAGACAATCTACTCAAAAGTAACGCTGATCCAAACACAATATTTTCTGATGAAAATTTAACTTGTCTACACTTGATAGTTTCTTTAAAACCTTCTTTAGAGAAAGTTAAAATGTGTGAAATTCTTTTAAGTCATAGTGCTGATCCCAATATTAAAACGCATCATAATCACTGGTTCGAGCTTAGAAAAGAATTAATTGGAGAAGAATGTGACGAAATCAACGACTGTGATGAAGGTAAAAATGCGTTGCATTTACTGTGCTTACGAGAAGATTTTATTAACGATTCTGAAAATCTCTTAATTTGGATTGCACATATTTTGGTAGCTAATGGTTGCAGAACCGACGATTTGTATTTGGGCCACACACCTTTATCTTTAGCTGTGATTAGAGGTAACACTAAACTCATCGAAGCTCTACTTAAGACAATGAAAGTGGATCCTCATCAATTGTTGGGAAATGGAATGGGAAACGCATTAATGGTGTTAATTTTAAACCGTTTTGCGTCACTTTTGCCAAACGAGATTAAAAAGGATGTGGCAAAATGTTTAATAAGTAACGGATTAAATCCTTTGACTAGAATTGGAAATTTTGAAAATGTCATTTCTTTCATGGAGAATGAAAAACATCTTTTAAATTTGAAAAAAATGTCTAAAACAAAAACGGAAAAGAAGATTAAAAAAAAGTCAAAGAAGAAATCTAAAACGCCGTCAAAAAAAAGATCTAAAACGTCGTCAAAAAAGTCATCAAAAGCGACAGGAAGCCACAGAAAAACCAAACTAGAATCAGTAGAAGACTTTATAATTTCGGAAACAAGGATGAATTTGTACAGACATTTGCAAGGCAAAGCTGTAAAATTTCTGTATACGCTTTTATGTGAAGCAATTGTGGCTGATCCTCTAACTGTTGTTTTAGCAAAATTCGTAATGCCAGATGAAGTTTTAGATATCATACAGTTATTATTTAAACATGGTGTAATTGACTTTAGTGAGTTTAATTATGCCCTTATAAGTGATTTAATACAGTTTGTGAGAATTCATCATTTTGACGAAAAACAAAGTGACGAAGAATATAATAAATTAAAGGAGACAATTAAGAATACACACTGGAAACCTTTAAGAAATATTTCTCAAAATATATACCTTCCAGCACCTGAAATTGATTCTCAAGAGGATAAATATATTGTTTGCTTCGAATGTTTGAAAAGTCAGGGAAAACGATTGATAAGATGTCCAAGTTGTGAACTAGTCTATTTTTGTTCCGAACATTGTAATCGCCTAAACGATAAAACTTCCAAACACCATCCTTGCAAGGTTACATTTTATGATGCAGTTTTGGAAATTATTAAAGACGAAGTTCAACCCAGTCGAATTCAAGTCCTTTTGAAGATGGCAGAAAAAATGAAAAAAGAAAGAATAGCAGTGTTACATTTATTAGAAATGGACGAAAAAGTAAGAAAACTGAAATTTATACCAATGACAACTAGAAATAGGTTTGAACTGCTTTATAACGAATTTGAAATGGCCGAAAAAGAAAGACAAGAATTTGCACATAAAAATAGTTTATGGGATTATGCAAACATTCTTATGCAAAATAGATCACAAAGTATCGTGAGGAATGTTTACTTTGAAAACATACCAGAGACAGCTGCTGCTCAAATTCACAAAAGTTCCCCAAACGTTTTTACCAAGGTCACTTCTAATATTAGTAATATATCTTCAAAAGATGGTGGTAAATTTGTTGACACTTTTCGCAGTTACCAAAATGTTCTGTACAATACACCCCAGGGAATAACACCAACCTCTACTACTTTAGTATTTACAACAAAATCTCGTGGTTTATCGCAGTTTTTGCTTAGTAAAAACTCATCATCGACTGTAAAAATCGGTGAACTTCAAAAAAAAAAAAGGAAATCCATGCTATCAAACGGATTAGGGAAAGAAGACGTACGTTCACAAAGTAGTAAAAAGGAAAATTATGAAGAAAGAAATAAGAAATTACTAGATAAAAATTACTATATGGATTTGCTGTCAAAAATTTTTGCGGATTTTAATCTTCCCTTGTTGCTGTTACCGTATGCTTGTTACAAAGATGGGCAAGTTTATTACAGCATGACTGGCAACATGTCTTACCTTGGATCCAGTTTCCATAAACTACAGATTCCTGATTAAATGCTTACTACTTTCGTTTTAAATTTATGATGTGTCTTTCAAAAGCAATAAAATTCCTAATAACATTTTGGCACAAGCCTAAATCTGTTTTGAGTAATGCATCTTCTAAATGTTTTTTAAACAGTGAATGGCTATAAAATGCATAAATTTTAGTGTGAAAATACTTTTATTCAATACACAATATTATTAACAACTCGAATGTGATGTGACACCCCACTAACGTAAATGCAAAAAACCTATATTCACTTTTAAGAGTTTGATGCAGCTTTCATGATCGAAGCGAGTAAATCCGGATCTGCTTGTTGTTGTCCCACCCACCACATGCATAGTGCATTTTCGTAAACCATAGCAGTTCTTGTATGGTGAAGAGGGTCTAGAGGATGATGCTGTCCAGTAGCGGTTGCAAGAATCGGTCGGTAAGGATGTAAACTTACACCGTTGCAACTGTCACTATGAAGAGGCATCTGAAAGCGTTTATTTTCAATTAATTATAACTTCTTACAAAGTCTTCGTTGTTACCAAAAGATGAATTTGTCACTGTTCCTAAGGACCTCACTTTAATTTATTTTAGATAAAATTAAAGAAAAATATAATAAAACAAAGAGTGAAAATAAAATGAGACAAAGTTTATAGTCCTGGGAATCTGTAAGTGTTGGTGTAACAAACAAAGACAAAATGATTTTTAGTGTTATTTAATAAAATTTGATTCAATACAAAAGTGACTAAATTTGATACTGAAAACATGAAATAATTATATAAGGGGTAATTATAATGGGTACGCACCTGCATGTGAACGCTTGGATAGGTACTATCGTGAACATTCCAAACTTGCACCTTACCATCCGTCCCCCCTGAGACGAGCCAGTTGCCACACATGGACAGGTCAATACTGATTTTTTGGTTGGTATTTGCTTCTCGGGTCAAACAGAACATTGGTCGACCTGGTACCTTGAAAATCAGCCATGTTAGAAATGAAATTGATATTTTTCGAATGTGTTTTCCTTTTTGTAATTAGAATGTTGGGTTAACAATCTTACTCGTAGATCCCAGCAGATGATCTCTTTGTCCTTTCTTGCGCCGCTGTACAAACGGAAGCCGTCCAGTGAGAATGCCATCGATGTGATGCCCCCTCTATGCCCTTGCAACTTGCACAGGTGACGAAATGAGCCGTCGCTTTGAGCTACCAATTCTATCGTATTCTTCCAAGTACCTGAGAAGGAATCAAGTTAGACCATTTTTATTTAGATTTATAGTTATTCACCTATTGCTACAACGCCGGGCTGAGCCTGACTAGCCACCAAACAGGAAGCAGGATGCGTCGTTGGATACTCGACAAACTCCCGTCCCGGTCGACCGGTACTAAAAATTTTAACATTCTTCTTGTAACCACAAAATACATTCTGACCATCAGCTGAAAAAGTTACGCTTATTGCAGCTTCCAGTTCATCGACATTGTTGTACCCTCTGTATGAACACCGCAAATTTCCAGTGAAAGCGTCCCATAAATGGATTGGGCCTTCATGACCACTCGATAACCAACTGTAACAGATATATAATTATTAGCAAATAGTTTTAAAGACTTCTGAATAAGAAAGATTCAAGTAAATATAATACAGGGTGTACGCGAAGTTGAGGCATTCCTTTTAACAGGATGTGCATTGTTCTTAAGAGTTTTACCCCATAACACCTTGGTAAAATGTTGATGGCACGGCTTCCTTGATTAATGAAGCAAGTTTCTAAAAAAGTGCACAGTTGCACAAGAGATGGAAGAAATATCACATTTGTGTTAAATTGAATCCATTATTCTTTATTTTTACAATAAAATAATTCGAATTTTAGTATTTATAACGACTTCTACAATCTCTGGATAAATCAACGGATAAGTGATCCGTGGTGGAATTACTATGGTTGCCATAGTATCAACAATGCCCAGATATTGATAGGCATTGTTGCTACATTTAATACTGAATGTTAAATATCTTTTCATTTATCAATTCTAGACATTAAAAGTTAATTTTTTTAGATAGACAATTTATCAATCTATTAGATGCAAAAATAAAAAATAGGGTTTTTCATTTAAATTTTTTTAAGTTATTTAACTTTTAACTCTTTCAGGGACGGTGGGTTAAAATTTAACCCATTTTTTAACTCACCTTAATTTCTATTTTTGAGCAGTTATGCTCATTAATGCTGATATTTTTAATAATACAGACATTATTCTTGTAGAGTTTACCACACTTTTTTATTTACAATCAATGAACTTAAAATTATTATGAAAACTATACAATTTATTAATTAGTTTGAAATACCTACATTTTTATAATACTTATTTTAACTTAAAAAAAATTGAATTGTTTTTTGAGAATATACACATAATGGATAATGATTATTATAAATACAAAGAGGAAAAAAAAAACAAAACAAAAAAAAATTCTTTCATTGGGATTAGAATTACGATCCTTGGGTTTATCAGGCACATACTTTCCTATTTCGACTAGTAGGCTTCCTGACGTCATTGAGCATTTCCAACCTATTTAGGGAACCACATTCGCTTAACATTACATTGATAAAATTTTGCTTTTTACTAACTGTATTTTGTATTATTCTTAGTTTTTTGAGATATGAATGGTATATCCTGATGTTGTGAAAAATTACAACAATAACATGAACTTTGTTGATAAATTTGATCGGTTGATGACGTACAGTGATGGACAGTGCATTTCTTCCTCCTAATTTCTGTGAATTCACAAAAATTCACTGTAGCCTGTGCTTTATTGTCATGATAACTGACACTGTCAAGTTTAATTAAATTTTTATTCATTTTGGACCGTCTAAAAATGGATTGGTACTATACCTCATGCAATATAAGACAAAGCACAGGTAAAAAGTATATAAGGAATATCGGGCATTTTATCAACATGATAAATGTACATCAAAGTTCTCAAACAAGGTTAGAAAAACCTAAACACGAATTTACACTTTTACTCTGTCATGAAAATTGATTGGATAAAATTCACTGTCCGTCACTGTACTCAATTGAAAAAGTCATAAATGGTGGCACTGAATTCTTTTCTATTTCGTTGATACTTGCATTATGTAACACCAAGCAACAAGAGTCTCGAAGTAACTGCCAGTGTGTAACTTGTAGAGTATCTCTTTGTTAAGGCAAACAGAAAAACTGCTTTCAAGCATATTATTACAAAAAATAATAACTTTTGTTAGCTATCGTACGTATTATTTAGTTTGCTTTTGTTTTCATTATTTGCTGTTATTTTTCTTTGTTCATTATAATACTATTTTATTTTATTAATTTATTTTTTTTAATGCCTATTATGTCACTACATAAGTAATAGACCATGACTACTTCATATTAAGAATACTTTCAAATTATCAAAAATGTACGAAATCTTATGAGGGGTTCATGAAGTTAATGAGATTTACGGAGAAAGTAAAAAAATCTGAAATCTAAAATAATTGGTCATAGACCGATGAAAAACTGTCGTTAGTGCTATTTTAATACCTATTTTTTAAAACAACTTGTAAAAATGATTATTTTTAAAATCCAGTAAATAGCTGTAACTGTACGGTATTTTAAATACATTAAAGTGTGTACCTGAAAGAGTTAACAAACTTCTTCATTTTTTAATCTTTACAAATGCAAAACACTAAAAAAATGCCACAGCTTTAAATTCTGTACTTTCTTCTTTGCAGAAGTAAGAAAATATGTATTCAGCTGTCTTAGTTTTTGTGTAATAAATTTTTAAAAAGTGTATGTTTTCGTCAAAAAAAAACGTTTCATTTCTAAAACTAAGCGAAATAGACTAATGGAAGTTTAGCGTGAAAACATTGTTTTAAAAAGCTACATCCAAAAATGCCAAGAAACATACGGTGTTTCATTTAAAAAACACAAGTTTGTATCGTAACTTATTTTTGGGACATGCTCTATAATTTTAGGTCATGCACTAGATTAGTATCTATTGATGTCCTATACAATTTTTACTTTCCTTATCCTATAAGGAAAGTATTGTAATCGGCTGAAATTTGACCTACCCAGATTTTTACATTTCTGGACGAATTATAGCTTCAAGACACCAAAAAAGTTGGTTTGGGCCATTGGGTTGTGTGTGTGTGTTTGCGTGAGAATAATGAAATATATCTTATTAAACAGTAAAATGTGATAAAACAATAATAACAATGGGTGCCAAACTAAAAAAAAAATGCACCCTAGACTCGAACCCGCGACAACTATCGTCTATTTCGCCTGTATCCGGCAGGTGGCACTGACGCAAAAGTTCTACTCTAATGGACTTTTTCAACTCGCTGGGACAGCCTATAGTTTAAATTCTCATAAACTACGTGCACATTTCAAAAACTGCAAAATATTGACCCTCATCATTTATCTCCTACGCCCTTTATATCGTCCCTTTAGAACAACAACTAGATAACTCTAATTTTAGGCATTTCTCAAATATTTGTTGCAATACTTCACAAATATAAAACCAAATTTTCTATAAGATTAAGAAAATAGTTTAGTATATTACACACCTGTAGGACAAATAATAATTATTTTTGATTACTTGCAGGGTGTAGTTTTTTTGCCTTACAATTTTTTAAACTGTAATTTCTCAAAACTATAAATTTCAAGTTACCTAGTTGTTGCACTATAATCAAATTTTAAAATACAACTGGCTAAAATTATTTGAGAATAAATTATTTTGTTTGGTCGGGCTGCTTAAACACTTCTTTTTTGACATTCATTTCCTTTGTTACAAAACCTGAAAACGTACCAACAAGTTGCTGGATTTGCACTATTCATCCCTGGATACCAACAATAGTCGTAAATGAGGCCGCTCTCTGGTACACTGACTGCAGGGCTGAGCGCCACAATAGGTCGACTGTTCATGATCGTTTCTCCAGAGTAGAGATCGGTGGGCAGTTCCATGACATGCATTCCAGCTCCTCGTACCACTGTCAGAAGACAAGTCCCATCGGGCGACCATTTACACCCTTTGAGGTAATGTTGATCGGCATAATTTGACCACTGACACCGTGCTAATTCTAAAGCTGAGTTTTCAAAGTTATAATTGGCGTACGAAACGAACGACTGTCCGAGGACGGCCTCGCCCGCTTCGTACTGTTGTTGATCTGTCACTGTCTCCGTCATTTTTAACAACACCTAAAAACTAAACATATACACGTTTTTTACAATTAACACGATAAAATCGACACAAAAACCGAAGAAATCAACGAGTTCGGAATGTTTCTACAGAAAATGACAGCATAAACCAACACAACTCAGGAAGTCAATCGAGCGGCATGAAAATCACTAATATTTTGGCGCAATATTTAAATACAGGATTATTTATCAAATGGTGCTTCCATATTTAAGATTTAATTTAAGAATTTACATTTAAGAAGATCCACTTATGCATTTTCAATGGTAACATTTATACTATAATTTAACATTTAAGCTTTAGTATTTAAGATTTAATTTAATTTAAAAATTCCCAACTTTTAACTTTTTACGTTAAATGACGAATAAAATTGATAAAATTTGTGACTGTCAGAACCTTGTCATTACTGACATTAATCACACTTGTAAAGTGAAACTTTTCTCTGAAATAATAAGAATTAATATGAAAGATGATGCACTCGTCGAAACTGTTAGACAAAATAGGTAATAAATTATCACAAATCGTCACTAATTTAACAAATGAAGGGGTAAGTGGAAGGTGTTAAGCGTCGTCTGCGTTGATTGACAGTTCTATTACTGTTAATCAACGCAGACGACGGTGTTAACATTTTTTGAAAAAGTCCACTTTGATGTGGATGAAGGAGTAGTACATGATGCGACTTGTAGCATCAGCATTTGGCTCTGTCTCTCAAATAAAAGCAGATACTGAATGTTAGAAAAGGCCATGTCGCATTAATAATCACGCTAATTAATTTTACTAAAATCCAATTATCTCATAAATATGTTTTTGTAACATAACACCTTCTTCCACTTGTCCCTTCAAATGTTTGTGTAAAATACGAAATTTACATCGGTGTATCCTTAAATTAAATACTTTAGAAGTATAAATTCGAAAATTTAGTAAAATGTCAAATCCGTTAATTCTTAAATTAAATCTTAAATGATAAATCTTAAATATGGAAGCATAAATGCACTGTTAATTGTTTTTGTTTCATACTTTCTGGTCGTGAAGAAAATACAGTCTGTTACTAGGTGAGAATGAAAATTCGATCTACTTCCATTCGTACCTATCAAATTTTCATTTTAACCTTGTTACAGAATAAATACACTATTCTAACATTGATTTCTTGCAATATTAGAATTGATTTTTCTAATATTTCTTCCACGGAATTCCGTGATTTCTTCTTATAACCTTTCATAGGTGTTCTGTCTAGAGAACTTTTGTTCTCTTGAAAGGTGTCACTTTGACTTTTAAATGAGGTTACTTTAATTCTTTATTTGTAAAACATTAAACGTGGTGGTAAAGTAGATTTCATTTAAATTGGCATAATAGGTGGCTATGGAATTTCGTATTTAAGTTTGTAGCCCTGCACATGTTCCTGTTATAACAGCTGATGGGGTTTTTGTTTTTCTTTGATTACTTAAAGTCTGTTCTTTTTTTTTAATGGAAATGCCAAACAGTTTTAACGTTGGCACCACTAGTAAATTCATTCGTGGTAATTTTAATAAAAGAAGTTGCAGTTCCGGTTTTTTGAATTAATTTGAAAACAATGTCATTAAACACAAAAAATCGTCTAAGAAAATTTAGAGGTGAAACACCAAAAAAGAAACAAATTTGGTACTGGTAACAGTTTTTAGAAATTTGGAAACCAATAGGTTGCAAGCAGGAAGTTAGAAAAAGGGCCCGTTAAAATGTAGACGCAATTTGTAATGCAGGTTTGCTAGACATTCTTAATTTTCAGCAAGAAATTGACAAGAATACAAAATAAACATGAATGAGGAAGAACCTCGGAAAGAACAGTGTCTTGTGCATCGTTTTTGAGGAACGAGTTGTAAAAGWAACAATTTTKAAAYTAAAGCTGARGAAGAATTTATAAAATGCATCAACTTTGAGCTCATTTCAATAAATTTCACAAAATTTATTGGCGATCTTCATAAACCTTGCTTGTATCTTTTGCTAAATAACTTTTTCTGTATATACATCCTTTTTCTTCAAAGTTTTTATAGCAAGATCCTCATTTTTGTCCACAACACTGTACTTACTTGCGGTATGCTTCTATCAAAATTATTAGCACTGAATTCTGTCTTTAGACCTTAGGTAATTATGTCTGTCCTCAGGTATTCAATTATAGTGTTTTCAAAGAGCAAACGGGCACACAAGATTTATAAAAGTCAAAATTTTGACAACATCTCAATTTGAACTCATAACCATAATTTTTTAACAAAATTTCTAGGGACAAAAACAAAGAGCAAACAAAATTTGTGACTATGGAAACAAGCTGCTACCAATTTTTTCACCAAAATTTTGACTTGGTAATTTCCATTAAAAAAAAAAACAAACTTTACCTACATGGTTTATTGAACTGACATGACTGACATTTGTATTCGTTTTTTCAATGTTTTCGTTGTTTGTTCGTTATTCCCACTACTTTTTCAAATTTTAATTAAAACTAGTTCTCTTTAGATTTAAAGTACTCGCTAAGGTATGTTTGAAAAAAACTTCTTTTTGTTATTCCTGTTTTAGGAATGTTAGGTTAATGGAATCAACTATACCAATTTGAATTAAGCCAAATTACTTTATCCAGCGCAAAACACGATTTTTCAGGCTGCAGTACGCGAAGCTTCATTTTGTACAGATTTCTTTTTCCCCTCCGATCGCAACTTTACCATAGTTTAAAAATTCAAAATTTTGTCCTACATTTTTAATGACAAAATCCAAACCCCTTTTGGCTGCAACTTTCACAGAAAATAAACTGTGTTTCATCTCCGGTGTGAATAAAACGTCTTTTAAAATTTCTGGAAGCCACTTATTATCAACGAAGTCTGTATTTTCTACAAAGCAAATAGTGTATGTTTTTAGTGGATTGCGGCGCTTTTTTGAACTTTTACAACTAGCGAAATATAGATTGTTGTTTCCAAGTCGGTAACTTCAAGAGGTAATCCAAAATTAAATAATTCGCAATCCAAAATCGGGTAGCAATATTACAACAATGCTAATAAAACATTAGAGAGAATTTATACCTGAAAGCACCACAACAAAACCGTCTCCGTAAAGTTTCCAAATCATACAGATAACTAGCGTGCGGCAATTTGGGAGTTGTAAATTATGTTTTTCCACTAAATTGTCGTTTATGACTGCTACCGATCCCAGCTTGACAGCTGAACCAGTGTTGTAAAATTCTGAAGGCCAAGTTTGCTCCGGACGGGCCTTAAGAGAAACGAAACATGAGTAATAAAAGTTTTACCTTTTCGGCATGGAGTAAATACTCTGTTTTTTCACCCAAGCGTTGTTGCTTTTCCCATGGCATTTATCTACCAATGTTGTCTCTTTCGCTGGGTCAGCATTTTCTGGAGAGTTCGCTGTAGATTATCAGCATTCCACATTTTACACTACAGACTACACTAGTATTCACTAGTCATTCACTAGTTAAATCAATAAACATTTTCGAAAATCTCAACTTAAATTCTGATACTGACTCATAACGTTTGTTATGATTTCATATTTCATTAGTCATTACAAAGCGTGCAGATTACATATTTTGTTCATTTACTTGGTAATTATTGTATTGCTTTTTACTCTCGATCTGAGAGTATATAATACGTTTGCAGATAAAAGAGTCCGCAGTATATCCCCGAATAGGTGAAAAGACTCTTGTAAAAGATAAAAAAAAATTATGGGATTTAGCGCTGCTTAATTAAAAACTAATTTCTAACGTAATTTTAGTTTAAAAAATATCAAGTTTGACTTGGAAATTTTCAAAAAACCAATTTTCCTGTAAAGTGTCTTTTGTGTAGCAAATATGACAAAAAGTTATGAAAAAAAGTTGTTTAGAATCAATATCCATCAAATTCTAAAATCATCGACCAACTATGATATTTCATTTTTTTCCAAAAATAATTGCTTTTTATTAATACTTTATAAAACCGTCAAATAGTTATTTATTGTAAGTGTGTGTTAGGTAGCGTTGTATTCACTCAAGAATGTTTAACCGCGAGAACGTCAGTTCGATTGGTTAATTATTTTCTTAAGTGGATAAAATGCGACTAACACACGACTGTAGTATAACGTTTTATCCACAATCACAGGCCCAAATTATTCCAAACTTAATTAAAAATTTAAGTGACATTTAAACGTCACGCCAAATGTGCTTTCGGTTAAACGTAGTAAGCTATTATACACGGTGCGCTGGTTACTAACAGTGGAATAAAGTTATTTTATTCCACTTATAAATAACTTTTATCCACTAGTGGATAAAGTGGTACTTTATACGCATCTAAAGTGTGGAATACAGTCTCTTTATAGACTGATTGTGGATAAAAGTTATTTATTAGCAATAATCTAAATGTAATTTTTTTATTCGTAATAAAAGAACTGTTAAAAATTCTTGATTTGTGGAATAATAATCATAAAAAAAGAAAAATCATAGTTGGCCGATAATTTTCCAATTTGGTATAATTATAAGGGCCTAAATGTTGATTCTAAACAACTTTTCTTAATAACGTTTTGTCGTAATTGTCACATAAAAGGCACTTTACGAAAAATTGATTTTTCAAAACTAAACTTATGTAAGTAATTCAGAGTTGAACCCCAAAAAAATGAAAATTTAAATCGGAATTTTTTTATCCCGTTATATGATTTTTTGACGGCTCACTCCTTAAAATACCAATAAAAAAATCTAATAGAGGATTCAAATAAAAAATAATCGATCTTGGTAAGTATAATTCAGTTTCCATTATCTCGTGGGAGGTTTCCTTAATGTTGTTGCTATTTGTAAAAAAAATTACGTTTGTTTTTGATTAATTTTCTTTATTTGCAATCATATTATTAATCTGTCAATTTCATTATTAAAAATGTAAAGCTCAAATTTTTTTTCCAAGCAATTAGTAAACTGGTTGAATTTAAATTAGGTACTTAATTTAAAACGATTTGAAACTGAGACGGTAAAACGCTAAGCGCTCTCATTTTTACTCTGTCGTACTACTTTTTTTTCCAAATAATCGAGTGATTTTGTAAATATCTCGTTTCGTCTTCTAGTACGAATATACTGGGTGCGCCAGAACTCGCGCCCCAGAGAAAAATGCCAAGTAAGGTAAAATACCAGGAACATGGAAAAAATGTTAAAAAAAAATCTATCTATAAAAATTTTGAAGTTATGAGAGTTTAAATTTTGCACTTTGACTATTTGATTATTTATTTCTGTTGGAAAAATAATTTTCCAAGTTTTCTTGCTATGTTCCTGGTATGTTATCTTACTTGAAATTTTTCTCTGGGGCGTGGGTCCTGACACACTGTATAGTTCTCCGTATTTAAAATTTATATAGTAAATTGAATTTTAACATTGGATGAATAAAATTGTATACAAACCTGAAGCTTCGCTCTCAAACAGTTAACCAACGCTCGGCTGTGGTTTGTAATACACTATTAAAAATGTCTCTTGTGCTACCAATTCCCATTAAATTTTTTGTTTCCAAAAACGATAAATGGTACCTAACAGTGGGTAAAAATAAAGTGAAAATCTGCTAATATAGGTATTTATTAGTTTAGTCCAAGTACAAATCTGTTTATAAAATATATAAAGACTTTATTACAAGGCACATAGCTTAACTTATGAAACAAATTGAGATTATTGTCTTTTACTCATGCAGGCAAAGATATTAATAGTTTCCATAAATATATAAACCAATGACGCTTTCCAAATTGTTATCAACATAAGAAAGATTACTTGTATTAACCATTATTATTAACTATATACCTACCTCATGGCAAAAGCAACAACCCTTTATAAAATCATTCTTAAAACTAAGTTAATAAATAAGCGTTTAATACATTCGTTAAATCTGCATAAAAAGTAGAAAAAATATTATTATAAAAAAACCGCTGGGCAGATCGTCAAACAATAAATTAATTACATACAGTATCACCTATAAGAAAATGCCATAATACATTAACTTGATCACAGAACAACAACATATAGGTACGTTAGGTAATTAAAGCATTAAAAAACGAATTTACAAACAATAATTTGTGGTAAAATGTAGACGCAAGGAACTGATTGAAGAAGTAGGAGCCTAAAACTAATACAAGGAACATTTTTGCCGAAATTTCAATCTTCGTCCTTGAAACGTCTGTAAATGGACTGTACGTAGGTGAAGACGCATTTCCAATCCGGTTTTCGGGTGGCTACCATGTCATCGACGTCAAGAAGCGGTGCTATATCCGCCTTCTCACTGGGAAAAACCATTATTGATTATTATTATTGCTCATAGCAGTTCGTATTTTAAGAGATTACTTACTCAGCCACACGGAAGGCGAGTGTGAAATTATGCCTGCGATTTTTCGGTGAGAGGGCATGGTAGTCGAACGCATCCGGAAGGAAATGATGGATGAGGGCACAAAAAGCTAATCCGTCTGCCCAGCTGGTTGAGAAGTTGTCTAGTTGGATGTTCTAAAACCGCCAAACAAATTAAAACAGTGTCAATTATTCTTTTAAGCAATATACAAAAACACAGTAAATGAAAGCTCCATTTTTAGTGGTAAAAGAAAATCACAAACAAGGCGGATTAAATAAAGCAACCACAAACAAACACCCATTTGTCCATACCTCATACTCCTTTGTCTTCATTCTGCACCAATACAAGAGCCTATCTTTGATGGTGCTAGCACTTTGACTCACTGCGGGATCAGTGAATTTAAAAAGGGGGCCACTGCCGGAGGGGGTCTTAGGGGTACTGCAGACCAAGCCAAGCATTAGTCAGTATGAAAGCGATATCAAGCCGAAAGTTAATTGAAATATTTGGGGAGGTGTTATTTAAGGTACTTAGGTTTTACCTTGGAGAATTGAGGCTGTTTTGTTTGTCCAATTGCCGAAATTTGGCGAAAGGTGAAATCGGCTTCTTAGACTGAGTTTGCTGAGTACTGGTAACTCTCGAAGTAACTGAAATGTTAAAAGTAACAGTTAATTAACACATTTTTTAAGAAAAAAATTATCAGTTATAATACGAGTACCTAGTCAAAAATTGTCGAATATTTTTATGAATGGTCATCGCTTTATGAACACCATGAGTGTGTAGCACGAATGGTGTTCGCAAACGTAATGACCATAAATGCTACGCACTCATGGTGTTCATAAGCGTATTGACATGATTTCATTGACATAGCAACGTGGAATATCCAGTTATATTTTATCACGAGTGGAATATTCGCTTAAATTTTTTGTTGCTAAGATGCGAAAGTAAACATCTGCTATTTTATTGGTTAATATTTGAAAAAAGAGAGGTGAATTGAATAGTCAAACTTATTTAGCAAAGATAATAACAAAATTGATTTGGAACTACTATTATTACCTACGTTACGTTATGTGATCCTTACCTTGTGTTGTTGTAATAGGCCCCTCCGAAAAAGTTGTCTTAGTGTGAGTGGCTTCTGAAAACAAAGGAAATAATTTTATTGCACTTTAATGAATACAAGAAATCGACAAAATGAATTAATCACATGGTAAAAAAAAATTGTTAAAAGACAAAACGGAAATGTTATTCAAGTGCAAGAAAAAAAATGAGAAGGTTGGGTAGAAGACAAAAAGCTGGCACGCCATAGCAAGTGCTTTGTGTGATGAAACAAAAAACAAAAAAATGTAAATGCGGTTTAATTTTTTTAAATTAGAAATCTACTAAAGGCGCATTTACACAACAGTTTGTAGAAAATGTGGCGTTGGCGTGGCTGGCACAAGAGGGGGATTCACAGTTATTAATGGGTGCGCACACCAACACACTCTCACCCTTATAAAATCATCTCGACGACCCCCTTTCAAAGTGTTCTGCGATTGGTGTGCGCACTCCAAACACACCAATCACCGACGCCTATTTGTCCTCAACAACAACAACAAACAACTTCTATTGTTTCGATATACAACGGACGGGTTTCGTTCGACTAAAAACTCTTACAATCTAAACATTAAAAAACAACTTCCACGTAGGAATGGAATGCAGAAATTTTGCTTTTTTCCTTACTTGGCCTTAAATTCGGTTTACGAGCTAGACCTAAACAAGGCTTCGAAAGCTTTGTCCACATTTTCCTCGTCTAGCAGTTCTGGACAGACTATGTCTGGCAGAGTTCGACTTCGAGATAATCCGGAAGAGTGACGAAAAGTTGACACTTTTTCCGAGGTTTTCAGTCGGTTGATTGATCTTTTTACTACTTTTGTGTCCGTTTTAGTGGTCAGATTTTCGCTCGAGGAGTTGCGAGAGAGTGACTGAGGTGATTTACTTCCGCTTAAAAACGCTTCCATGGTTTTTCTTTTTTGAGCCATTTCATCTTTAGTCATTCCAGCTTCAAATTGTTTTGGTAAAGCAAGGGAATGACTGGATTTGGATTTCAAAACAGTTCGAGCATTTGGTGATGCTCTTGGTGACGGTTTGTGGGCAGGTTGTTGGTTTTGCATGCAAATTTGGTGCCACGAATCGGCTTTATTTGCTATTTGAGTTTGACTGGGTGGTCGTGGAGATTCGGGCTGAGGTACATTAATCACAGGTATTTGGAATTTCGAAGTCACAATCGACTCACCGTTTGCATTAATCTCTAAAGATTCAACAGGAGCTGAACGTTTATTGTAGGTATTAGAAGAGATATTTTCTCGGTTTTTATAAGTAAAACTATGAGGTGATACCGGTTTTGGAGTCTCCTCACGGGGTTTATAACTAAAGCTGTTAGGTGACACACGTCGTGTTTCGTTGGTTTGATAATTATAACTTATTGGCGAAGTGACTTTGCAAGGTTCCTCTCTCTGAATGTTTCTATAACTAACATTGTTGAATATATAGTTTTTGGGCTCGTCCTTAGTTTTAAAGGGAGGATTAAATGGTGGAGTTTCCTTCTTTGGATCCTCTTTGGTTTTTTGAGGAGAAGTTTCTGATTTTGGATTAATTTTTTGAAGCGAATTTCGAAGATTTAGGGCTGCTGCCATATCATGTTCATTTCGATTCATTGGGGATTTTTGGCGAACTGTGGTTGCCTGTTGACATACAGGACCAGTCATCACTCTACTGTTAACAGCATTGTATTCTTTCAGACTTTCAACAGAAACTTGAGATTCATATTTTGGTTGTTGAACTGCGGTTTCTTGCTTAGGTTCGTTTCTCTCTTGTAGAGGAATTTTTTGAGAATAATTCGGTGGCGGTGTTTGAACTTGTGGTTGATATTGGTAAGTTGAGGTGTACTGAGGCTCACTAAATTGTTGGTTTTTATTTAAATTGTGTTGATGGTGTCCTTCATGTTGCTGATTTTTAGGGCTATGGCTTTGTGTTTGATATTGCTGACTTTCAAGTTTGTATTGTTCACTTTGAGGTCTGTGAAGTTCGAAATGCTGATCTTGGTTTTGAGGATTTTTATACTGTGTTTGTAAGGTATACTGTTGATTTTGTGATTCATATCCGTAATTTTGAGGTTTTTGATATTGATTATGAGATAACAGTCTTTGCGAAGCATACGTTTGATTTGTTTGCTGATTTTGAGGATAGACGTATTGTGGAGATTGAGGCGAATTATACTGTTGATTAGAATATTGATTCGGTATTTTTTGTTGTCTTGTTTTATATTGATAGTCCGGCCTGTCGGCTTTAGGAGAAGTATATTTAACACTGCTATAAATAGCATATGTATCATTACCCTTTTCATTCAGCTGATCATATTGACCGCTCAATTGCTTCACATTTTTATTCTGTTCCACACTTTTTACAAGGTAAGGCGCGCTTAATTTTTCGGCAGTTTGTTGATGGAAAGGTGAAACTAACTTCTCCTTGCTTAACTTTCGGGGTTTGATAAGTGGAGGTTCTTGTTGCGGAACATTTTCAAATTTAGAAGCAGCTAAATTTAAAACACGACTTTCACCAGGATTTGTAGCCCATGGTTTCAACGAAGGTTCATTTGATGGTTTGGGACTATACAAGAAAAGTGGTGATTCTGGTTCTTTTTCTTTATCGCTCGATTTGATAGGAGTCTTACAAATTTGAAGTGAGGCAGGCGGTGTTTTCTTCGGTATTGGTTTAAAGGCTGATTGAGGTGCATGTGAAAATTTATTAACGGGCAAAGGTTGAGGCACAAATTTGTAGCTCTTGTCGTTGTGCGGTTCAAAAGCTTTCACTTTGAGCGATCCTGTTACAATATTTTTGTTGTCGTTGGGACTCCAAGGCAATTTTCGGGTCTCTTTTTGTTTTTCTTCAAACATCTGACGAAGATTCCTTGCACTTTGTTTACTAATTTTAGGCCCGTCATATTTTGGGCCAATAGTGACAGCATCGTCGGCACATTTCCAAAACTGGCGAGCAGAATTTTGAGATTGAATCGGGCCAGATGATGCTTTTTCAAATGTGTTTTTTATATTCCCAAATTTGTTAGTCCATATAGAACCATGGTTGTTAACCTCTGGTTTGGACCACAATGAATTTTTTGATTGAACTGTTCTAGACGTAGAGTTTTCGTTGTGTTTGTTAATAAACGCTAAGAATTTTTTATCGTTATCTGTTTTAGGTTCAAATACTGGGACTGTACTTTTAGTACTATTTGGGTTTCCAACTCTGATAGGTCCTCTGAGTGCTAAATAATTACTTCTTCTTCGTTGATAATAATCTTCTTCTGGTAAGGAACTATCACTGTCGTCATCCTCTTCATAAAAATTTAAAGGTTTCGGTATATCAATTGTGTTAGCTCTTTTCATCTTTAACTTTTTCGTGTTAAATTTATTAATTTTCTCTTCAGTATTTGAAAGTCTTTGTTGCTGATAAATGGGATTATTTTGCATAATCAGATCCGGTTGTAACGGTTTATAAGGTTCGACTGTGACTTCTTTTCTTTCTTCAGAATTGACAGTGTGCGCTTTCATAGTGGTATCTTCGTCGGTTTCTTCCGACTCCATAAGGTTCTCTGTACTTTTTCTTGCAGCGGCTTGTTGTACGGCATGTTGTACAGATTTAATGCTGACATCTCCAGATGAAGATCTGTGTATATTTTGGTCATCCAAAGACATTGATCTAAATGAATAATCTGGTCTTTTATCACCATCTTCCTGAAAAAGTAGATCTAAAGATTCTGATGGATCCGTAGGTGTCTGAACTGAAGATGAATTTCCAGAAACAGTACTATTTGAACTACTAAACGGTTTAGCCACTGCATTTTTAACCACACTTTTTTGTGTCAAAAATGGTTTAAACGAACTAGTCGTGTTTTGCCCAACACAACCTTCAGAGTTTTGTTTCTGCAACATTGAAACTTTTACTTTCGACGATTGTGGAGTTAATTCGTGTAAGGAAATTTCTTCTATTAGTCTTCTAGCGTCTGCTAATTCTTCACGACTAACGCCCACAGTGTGTCTATTGGGTCTTTGACGTCTTCTAAAACGTCCTTGAACACTGGAGCGCCTTTCCTGAGGGGGCACTGACGCTGCAAGACCTGCTTGCAGTTTTGTGACTAACTGAAGAAGAGAAGCACGACGTTCTGGTGTTACATCGGTAGTATCATCGCGTAAACTTGCCGATAGTTTATCGAGTGCGTTTTGCACTTCTGCTATAAGACCGTTACGTTGGTCTTCGCCAGATTCCGTTCCTGAATCGGCGGTTTGTTCGTTATCAGGCGCTTCGAGTAAGCCCTGTAGAAGAGGAAGTAGTTGAGACTCACCCTCAAATGTTGTACCGATTTGATCCTGACTGGCCTTCTCTACTAATTCTGTGCATGCTGTAAAAAAATTAAACAAATCGAAAGTTTCTTGAAAGTTGACTATTTTTTATACAGTACCTTCCTGTTCTGCCATCACTTGGCGTAGTTTAGCTCTGATTTTTCGGCGTTCTTCGTAATCAGTACTTTGTTCTAACTGAAAAATTGACATAAAGTGTATACAAAAAGTTTCAAACATTTTGAGATTTTGTTACCAGTAGTCGCAAAGTTTGCTCGTCCCAGACTGTCTCAAGAACTTCGTCGGTTATGGGGTGTTGGAATACGCGAGTTTTGGTAACTGGTTTCCCTCCTTCCTACATCAAAATCACAATGAAATAACATTAAAATAAAGCTTTTACATATGTTTGTTTTTTTTTCACAGAAATGTTTTTTAATTAAATATATTTATTTGAAAAATTGAGGTAGATAAGTACGTAACAAAATTTAGAATTTCATTGCAACATTTTACCAAATAACCTTTTACTAAACTATATTTGATATGAATGACACCTAGGTGTATTTGTTGATAAAACAAGTAATTTATATACGCAGATAATGTTTTTAAATTTTTATTATGTATACAGGGTGTTTACAGTCTTGGAGCTGAAAATTGACCTAGTAATAGAAGAGTACAGAAATACTGTCACCGAAAAAAAAACTCACACAATTGTTATTATTAAGAATGCTATTAACCTCTAAAATATTGGTACACGGTTTGAGGATCACTGAAATTATTTCCTTGTTCAGATAAAATTGTATTGTATAAAAAATCGTATCCACGATAATGAAAGAGAAATGTCACTTTATAGTTTTGACACTGTCATCATTTGATTTGCTTTTGCTTTAGTTTTCATCAAAATTCGAAGATCTTTTGTTTAATCTCTTCCAGCGAAATGGTTTCCAACAGGTTTGATTCGTTTTTCTTAATTTTTTTCCAAATTTATGAATATGTATGACAAATATTAAAATAATAAATTGGTTGTCGTGATTATGATTTACGGTGAAACACTAGGTAATGATACTAATGGCCATTGTTGCAGCCGAAGCAGAAGTTCTCAAATAAATAGTATAAAATGAATTATAACGCATATAACATGAATTTTTGTTTTAGATACCGTAATAGTTTTCTTCTACCGTGAATAAATTTCAAACCCAAGACCGTAAACGCCCTGTATAGGGTGGGCTATCTGTTGGTTTCTTTTTAAGATTGTTATTAAAACTACAACGTTAAATATTTTTGAATGGTTGTTGTTGCTTTGTTCAAAATGTATTCAAGAGAGTACACCTTCCGATTATTTATGAAGAACTATTTTAGTTAAATGGTTGCCGCGGCTGGCTTGGTCTTGTCTTTATTTCACGAATAGCTTGATGGATGTTTTCTTTAAGTGCGTCAATGGTTTGTGGATCGTTGGAGTAACAACGGTTTTTATGTTCCCATAAAAAATAGTTCAACGGCGTCAAACCGCATTTCGACCAAAAAATTTTCTCAACTTTCGCACAGTTTTTGCAACACATCTCTCACTTTGAAAATAATTTTTCAATATTTCCCAGCGTTGTAAGCGTAACACACTTTTTTTCTTAAACCGGAGGTTTGACACTATATACCTGTCAATATGTCAGGCGCCTCAGTGTTGCTAATGTGAAAATAACATACACTTCAAAAAGAAACTATAAATGGCCCACCCATTATAAGGGAAATACAAACAAAAAATTAAATAACGAAACGGATGTAATGTGTTTTATTATCCGACTTGACGTGAAGAATCTTTTAACTTCAAATTTGTTGCTTTTTTTATGAAATTAACAAAATTCGAACTGGTATTTTTCTCAGATTGCATTTGAAATCAGAGTTAGGTACTTAATATGGTTTGTGTTCCACTACAGTTCATTCTTAAAAAGATGTTACAAGACTCGAGATATTAAACAATTTTATTTACATTTTTATTTCTATAAAAAAAGAATGCCACATCATCTAGATACATAAATAATGTTTAGCAAAGAAAACAATAGTCCAAAATTATAAAAATATGTATAAATAATCATGCACAGATTCTCAAATAATAAGAGAAAAGGTATAAAACCTCTGATGATGGTTTTAGAAAAAAGGGTTAAAGTTGTGTTTATTATGTTGTCAATGAAAATCAATTGTCATTATTATATAGGTAACTGACCAATAATAATCAATAATTACAATAATGAAAAAATCAAATTGAGATTTTGAAGGCAATTATGTGTAAATGTTGAAATTTCATTCACATTCATGCACAACTCTGTAACTATAGCACCACCTAATTTTTTTTTAATTTCATCACTTTTAAAATAATGATCTAAAGAATATTAATCTGAATTAATTAGAAAAAAACATTTTCTCCGTGGTGCTAACTATAGCACCACATAAAACTCAAATAGGAGAAAATTAACCGCCAATAGATGGTACTAAAACATCAATGTTTTCCCCATTTGAATAGTTTACAGTTGATGTGCCAGATGTCTTCTTTCCTAATTTTGGAGCGTAGCTTTTCTATTAGAAAAGAACATTTTTGCTTACAGCTTAAAATTTATAAAAAGTTTGAGGGCAAAGTAATTGTGCAATACTCGTGGTGATATAACCACTCCCAAAGTTTTTATAAATATTAAAAACTTTCAGCTGTAACCAAAAATGTTCTTCTCTGATAGAAAATAGCATATTATGTTATTAGGAGTAAAAGTGATAGTTTATGTCGCGAAGTTGAAGGTTTATTTTGCTGAACGGAGTGATTCAGCTGAGCCACATAAACTTACTTTTACTCCAAATAACATACTATATTATTCGCAAACGATTCAGATAAAGAGAAAAGAGCAAGACAATAATTATCAAGTAAATAACCAAAATAATCAGGACGCTTCGCAACAAAATCATAATAAACGTGACGCGTCAATTTCGGAATTTGTGTTGAGAGTTTCGAAAGTGTCGATTGATTTAACTAGTTTGTAGAAATAAAAGTTTGGTGTGTCGGGTTATATTGTGTTTGTGTTCATAGTTTTTCATAAATTTGATAGTATATAAAATACTTATTTTTATCTTGGCATTTTGTCAATTTTTACAGTATATTTTGACAAATTTCTTTATAACATTTTATAAATTTCGAAAATTTCTGATCCAATATTAGTGTTGGAAGACAACACAAGTTTTATAGTTTAAAAATCACGGTCTAACCTCCCTAACGATTGGTCGAATTTAAACTACGACCTCCATTTTTAAACTGTCTATAAAATTCTTGTTGTCTTAATAGCTATTCTATGGTGCATTTAACCTTACCTCTTATGTTGCCGTTAAAATACGTTCTTCTATAAAATACGCCGTCACTCACAACGTAATTTATATAAAGTATATAAAATATTCTATTCTTATCTTGTCATTTTGTCAATTTTTACATTATTTAGACACATTTCTTTATAACAATTTCTGAATTTATCAAAATCCAATAGTATTAGTGTTTGAAAAAATTTTGAAGACTACACAAGTTTTATACTTAGTTTAAAAAAATCTTGGTTTATTAAATTCTCGCTATTTTGTCAATAAAACTCTTGTTGTTATAATAACAAAACTTTCTCTGATATTTACAATATTTACATGCTGGACCAATATACTACAGCATCTTTTAATAGGTTGCTATTTTCTCTTATGATCACTCAAGGATATTTACTTTTTAAAAGTTGTTTTTATCCCAGAGAACGTAGTGGTAACTACGCCTCAAATCTTTTTCAAAAATTTCTTTACGAAATTTTCATTTATAGAAATTTCTTTTGTAAGTTTTGGCAATGTTAAATTTATTTATACAGTTCTTACACTTGCGTCAGCTCACAATAATATGCCAATTTTAAACTTGAAAAATTCTACAGAACGACATCATGAGATAAATGTAATTATTTAATAAAAATTAACCGAAACTGCAGCAAATTATTCAAAAATAAATTTAAAGTTTCCATGCTTTGGTCGGATTCGTATTTTTTGCGGTGGTTCAATGACACTTCATGTAAGGATTACAACTAGGTAAATGTATTATTATCTTAAAAATAAGTTTGTAAAGTTAGCGTTTATTTTTGCAGAGACTTAAAATAGGGCCAACTTTTGAACCCGAAATGCATCTCGAGCAGGAAGTTTAAATAGAATCCCATAATGTAGCACCAAGTCAAGAATCCGGAAGAACATTTAACGTTGCCATTTTAATTAAATCATCTCCATGTGATATAAAAAATGCAGCATTCTTATGCGGACTTTAGTCCTCCCACTGTCTTTTTCCGGCGTTAGTAGAGGACAAGGACGCCAAGCATCGCGACGTTGCGCATGTCTCACTAAAAGCGTCTAATCGACTCGCCTATTTTGGTTAGAACCACCAACGAAACATTCTGCTGGCGTACGGCCCGTAGGAAATTCACACATTATTTTCACAAATAGTAAACCTAGAGTTAATTCCAAGATAAACAAAAAACTATTGATGTTAGGAAAACTCATCTAAATTAGTTAAGTAAAAAAATTACAAGAAATACAATGCCCGAAAAAATATAATGTTGACAATGTCATGAAAGAAAATGTTTTGCTAATAAATAAGTATAAGATTAAAATTACCACAAAAATTACTAAATTAATCTATAATAGTTGCGAATTTTAACTTTGTCAAAAAAAATTTTTATTAGTTTTTTGTTTTATATTATTGTGTTTTAATTATTACAAAAACTTTACTTCCAAATACTAAAAAAATATATTATTATTATGTACATTTTTCAGACTTGATTTCACAAAATGTCTACCATTTCTTCGTCCTAATTTTTTGGTTATAAAGAGGATATTTGCCTGTCCTCATCAATTAGGTGTAGTGACAAGGTTAAAACATTGGTCAAAATAGAAAAAACTATTGTTTCCAATAACATGGTGATCCAAAAATGACAAAGAAAATTTCGACTATGACGTTTCATGACTTAACATATTTTTGGAAATTGCGCGCAATTATCTTAAAATTAACTAACATCCTACGAAATAGAACGTACCATGCCGGACAAAAAAAAAGAGATCAAGGTCATTCTGTTGACATTGAGTGTAAAACGGTCCGTAGACAGTAACTTCATTTTTAATTTAATGTTACTGATTTTTAACGTGATGTTCCTGACATTTTGTTGGTTTGGAAAGTCAAATTTGACGTTAAAGCCTGCTTTACAGTGAATTTTTAGAAAGAATCAAATATTTCATGTCCCATTTTTTGTATGGGATGGTACCAAATTAAGATTCAAGTTTTGAATTTTACTGGAAATATGAGGTTTTTTAAAAAATGCGGAAATTATAAAGTGATGCAGCTATCTAATGCATTTCTTAATAGCGCTATAAATAAAATGCTAATTATAGTACATAATACAAATATTGCTACATTTCCACGCTTAGTTTGTCACATTAAAAAATCTCACCTATTATTTTGAAAGTACTCAAAAATTGAAGTTTTTAATCCTCAAATTTTGAATTTTTTTTATGATGTGTTGGGTAGTTCACTGCACTAAATTTCGACAGCCACTGAGGGTTTACACCGACAATCTGAACGAGCGTCGTCGTGTTTTTGACGTCATCCGTCCAAAATTAGTAGCGGCGCGTCTTTAATTTGCAATAGAGCACCACATAAGTCGGCAACCTTACGATGAGGTGCGTTTATGTTTATAATTGGGTTGGGAGGAAAAAACTCACCGTGATCGTTGTTGTGACTTTTGTGCTGCGTTTGGCGTTGCTTGACGTTGATTTGATGCTTGATTCGATGCCCGAAAGGATCACTTGGGCACCGAGGAACTTGTTCAAAAGACCTCTGGCTTCGACGTCTTCAGAACTGTCACCTTGGCGAATGTCTGAAAGGTGGATGCATTAGTGACAACGACTTGTGTTTTCGGGGGCGGTTCGTAGAAACTGAGATTATTTTTGGACAACTTGTCTTAGTTTCTTTTCATGGAAACACAACGTTAAACATTTAAGGATATGTTAAATTTATCTTTTTCAACTAACTACTAATTTACACTTTAGTATGTCATGGAAATTGAACGGATGAAATTCACTGTTCGTCACTGTATTTCTAAAAATTTTAAAAATTTTCACTTATGGAATCATGAACGCTTTTATTTGTTTATTTACATATTATTTTATTTTTTCAAATGAATATCAAGTTTTAATGTGACAAAGTCTCCAAATACGTCTTTAAATTATATAAGTTACAAAAATAAATACAAAGTTATTAGCAAATAATTGGTGTACACTTGTATTCAAAAGAAAAGCGTACAACTGCTGTAGGTACCCGATTTTGGCTATTTTTCGATAAAGTAAACGGGGCTTTTTCTAATTGTTACTTGGTAACATTGAACTAAAAGGTAACACATGTAACACAACAATAGGTAACACATGTACCTATTGTTTAAAACAGAAGTTAATAGAACGAGTATAATTTCAAAATTTAATTTACTACCAAACAAAGCTTTTCTTGCTAAAGTGCTCGTAGTGTTCTATTCCCAACGACATTTTATAATTTTTTTTATAAAATAGCACTAAAAAGGAAGTGGATTGGATAAAATGTATTAGCTGCCAACTTTGATTGCCAAATGGTAAATTTGATAAAAACAAATATTGTTTTTTTTTGCAAATTGTTGTTTTGTCTTTAAGAGGTTATGACACTGTTAAGTTATACAGGGTGCGCCAGAACTCGCGCCCCAGAGAAAAATGTCAAATGCCGGGGGCAATAGGTCGCCATTCGTTGCTAGGTTACGAAAATAATACCAATTTGCCCAGAATTAAAAAAAGTTGCTGATCTACTGTAATTTTGAGTTTGACATTTATTAAGTTTCGTGATGTGGGTGACATAACCTGCTAGTTTCCAGTATTTTCCTCGCTGAAGAGGTTGTACAGGAGTATAATGAGACAGAATTGTTAATTATTATCAACAATTATCAAAAATTATTTTGAAACATTCTGGAAATTCCTGAAGAACCCTCTTCTCTCTAAAACTTCTTCACAGGTATTTTTCCTTCTCAAATTTTTCTTCGATCTGATACAGATTAACAAACCGATAAATGAATTTTAGAGCTTGAAAACTAATCCATTATCCTTTTGAAATAAAGAAGCAAGTGAGAGTGAAAGACCAGAAAAACATTAAGAAGTACGCAAGTTTCTTTATTTACTTTATTGCAAAATTAACAGAAAAATGTATGTACTTTAATTCAGTCAGAGTAGTTTCAATTAAATCTAAGGAGAAGGTTAGTTAGTGTCTTTAATTAATAAATAATCATGAAAATCAAAAATTATTTTACCTACTAATTTACCTATTTCTTCTAATTTAAGAACTATTATAGATTGATTTAATTTAATTAAAGAGAATGTTTTATTATAATTTTCTATAATAACATCAGTGACGGAAATTTGATGATATTCTCGTGCAACTGAGTTAACTGAGTTAATCGACCAACCTGGTTCTAGTTTTGTGATATTGTGAGTTCTTATCACTTGAGTGTGCTAGAACTCCCGCCCCAGAGAAAAATTCCATGTAAGGTAAGATACCAGGAACATAGAAAAAATGTTAAAAAGAATTTTATCTACAGTATGTCCCCGGATTAAGTTTACACGAGGAAAAAAAAATTATCTTTGATTTTACGCCAAAACGGCAAAGGATAAACATTTTTTGCTTCACCTGAAACGAGTAAATCTATAATTAAAACTTCATTATTCCGAATCAGTGGAAAGAAAAGTTTATTTTTTTCTTGATTGACAAAAAATGTCAAATGTCAAAAAATAAATTTAGAACTTTTTGACAGATAGAATTTTTTAAACATTCTTTCCATGTTCCTGGTATTTTATCTTACTTGAAATTTTTCTCTGGAACGCGAGTTCTTTGTATTCAATGAAAAAAATGTCTTGTGTGAAAAACTGACAGTGTAAAACATAGAGTCTACAATTTTTAAAAGGAACCATACAAACAGCCTGGAAATTATCTCATTTGCAGGGTCAACGCATTTCTTTTTAGTAGAAGTGTACAGTTGCGGCCTTTGAAAACTAAGACATTAAGTTTTGGCATTCTATTTGCTATTTTCAAAATTTGTATACTGTAAATAAGGTTTTCATCAAGGATGACAATGTTAGTTTTAATTTTTCAAATTCGAATGGTGTTACAATAAAATACTGTAGTTATTTCTGTCTAATAAACTTAAATTCATTGTTTTGAAGAAGTTTTATACTCTACGACACTGATTCGTAATATTTGGATGACATTCAGTTTCAAGGTATTTTACAACAACAAAATTTTGAATTTGTCAGAGTGTCTTAGTTTTCAACGGCCGTAACTGTACCTATCATAAATGTAATATCATAAGAGGCTTACTTTAAAATTCATATTTTCATCCACAAACCGTGAAATTTTCTGACACTAATTAGTTATTTGAAATGCTAAAATTTATTTTGAAATTAAGCTGATATGTAAACTGTTACACGAACAACCTTAACTTGATGTTAGGTCAATACACATATACCGAATTTTTGTATGGAGATATTTCTAGTGTCGACAGACATTTTTTGCTCAATTTGGTAATTAAAGTGTACCTAATTTAATAAATATAAGTATTCCAAATAATATTATTTTATTTAATATTTTTGCATTTAATAATATATACCTTCTGATTTCATCCTGCTAATAGCATCCTGTACACCTGTCACTTTGCTGCGATTTGTCAAGAAAGTCTCACCCGCTACAGTTCTTGATGAAGACATCTTTACAATCACAGTCTTCTCAGCAGACCCCTCACGACTATCACTGCTTCCAGTTTCCTTGAAGCTAGAAGTGCGCAAAATCAAACCTGCCTTTGGGTAGGTAGACTGCCTTTCACTCTTCGAGGTTTCAACTATCAAAAAATATGGCTAAGCAACAAAACTAACCGACAATGTGTGCATTTACCTGCATTTTCAATAAATTTCTGTGACAAAGCTTTCACCGATCCTCGTCTGTTAAGTTTAGTAGTTTTAGTTTCACATTCGTCTTCGATTGCGCCAATTTCCTTCTTCTTTTTCGAACTTGTTAGACTCTTAAGTGAAGGTGTATCTTTGTAACCGAACTTCTGAGTAGTGGTTATACTTGTAATTTCTTTATTTTTACCAACTTCGTCTCTTCCCAAGTCTCTGGGGTCGGTCGAATATTTCGTTACGCTAATCTCACCAACGGGTTCTTGGCCGTTTTCCGAATAGTATTGGCTCCTTATCACCGTTCCTTGAACTAAAACAATCTTTGTCTATTAATTGAGTTGATACAATATTTAATTGTTACCTTTAGTTGTGTCAGTTTTATTCTGGGCCCTTAAAGCTTTCAACCCAAACAAAGGACTGCCGTTCTCATCTGTAGGCCCCACTCCGTAACTTGAAGTGATGCTGTCAGTTGGTTTAATTTCTTTAATTGGACTAGATCTAATTTTTTTTGCAGTTACTGCAGTAGAAGTCCTAGCTGTTGAAACTGTAGTGTCCGTAACTTTCTTCAAATTTCTTTGTTTGACCCATTCCGGCATTGCATCTGCAACAACAGGTTTGGAAACTGGCAAAGTTTTCTTCAGTTGGGTTTGGAACACTTTGGTAGTTTTGCTTGATTTCTCGCTAGTAAATTTTGTTTCAGGACTCGCTATTCGTTTTGTTTTGGTTTCAGGACTTTGACTCTTCCTGATGTCGCGAGTGTGTTTCGTTTCAGGACTTTGACTCCTTCTGGTAACTTGATATATTTTAGATTCAGGACTATGTCTCGTTGTTTTAGTATATTCAGAGGAACTTTTACGTTCATTATAAGCATACGATGATCGGTATTCTGTATTTTTTTCAACAGATTCATGTGTTTGTTTTATTGTTTTGATCGGACTCTTTTCTCTAACAACCGTTTTTTTAGTCACCTCTACCAACTTTCCTTCAGAAAGCAATTTTTTAACAATTCTTATTTGAGCTCTAATCTTTCTTCTTATTTCATAACTTACAACTTTCTCTAGCTGTAAAAAAAAATCAATGTCTTTTAAATCAAACTGGTTGAAAATATACTTACCAATTCCTCCAACACTTCCAAATCATAAATTTCTTCAATTTCTTCTTCTGTGATTCCTTCTATGGAAGTCCTACTTTTTACCGAAGCAGCGTTAGTAGTAGTAATAGTCCGTCCTGAACCAGTTCTCCTCAAAGCAACTCCAAATTTAGTTTGACGTACATCACTGTTTTCCTCATGCTTTTTACTCAGTTGATTAATACTATCACGATGGGGGCTGTTAGGTCTCAAACTTCTGTCCAAAGGTTTCATGTAACCTGGAATATCACTTTCCGGAGATAAAGATCTTCTTGTTATTTCTTGTTGTTTTTCTGGTGACTTCGGCCTTGAACTAGCTTTATTTAGAAGCAGTTGTGTCGATTTCAAAGTTTTATCCTCTTGTTCATTCTCATAAGTCAGTTTTCGTGAAGCATCAGTTTTAAGTTTTCTTCCTTCAAAAACTGAAGGACGACTTAAAATATCCCGTTGTTTGAAAATCTGTTGGTCTGTATTTATATTTTCAAACAACGCTTTAGCTTTCTTGACGCTTTCTGTACTTCTGAGACGGTCAGTGGAACTCAAAACCGATTTCGATTCTTCTTGGCTCGGACGTCTTGCAGATTTTGGTGTCGAGTCGGATAATTTAGGAGAACTATCTCTTCGACCATATTTACTTTCTTGAACTTCTGTTTTAATTGAAGAATATTGGTTAGAAGGTCTTCTTGTCGGTGTGGTTTCCTTAGATGGTGATTTCTTAACTGGCGCTTCTGGTTTTGGAGTGCTTGGTTTAATATCAATTTTTGAAAGTGATACAGGTTTGGTGGATTCACTAGTTAGTGTATCAGCAGTTTTGATGAATTTGTTAACTTTATCTGAAACACTCAACAAGCAATCATCTTCTTTAATTGTTACGTCAATATCATCAAAATTAGGTTTTTCAACTTTTGAAGCCGGTTCTTTTTGAGTTACCACTTTTTCAGCAGTTGTAATAAAATGTGCCACTTTGTCGGACACACTAACCTCATCTTCAGAATAATATTGACATTTAGGGCTTTTAGGTCTTTGTGGTAAATCTTGAGGAGTAGTCAGTTGTTCAGCAGTTGTTATAAACTTGTTAACTTTTTGGGAAACACTTAAAAGACAATCATCTGATTTCAAATCTTCAGTCACTTCTAATTTGGGTCGTTCAACTTTAGGAGCAGGTCCTTGTTTTGGTTTCGAATCTTTAACAGTGTTGTATGAAAATTTGTTAATTTTTTTATCAATGCTTAAAAGACTTATGTCAGTGTCAGTATCCAGTGTTGTTTTTGAGGTATCCACAACTTCTGTAAATCTGCTGAAATCTTTGACGTCTTCACTTTCTAGAATAGGAATGTCAGAAAGTTTCTTCGGTTTTCGTGTGGGTGATGTGTCATCAGGTTCAGCGATTTGATCGGGATATCTAGGAGTCGTTTCATCATCGGAAGATACTGGTAATGGGCAAAGACGGTCAGGTGTTGGCTCTCTTGACGATTTAGATCTTTGTAAATCCACAATTACATCTCTTTCAGTAGCTTCATTATTAATAATAATAGATTTAGTAGTGATACATTTTTCTTGTTTTGTCTTGGGAAGTAACTCAGGCTTGGAAGCTCCTCTCAATGGCGTCTTAGTTTCAGGTCGTTTTTTAATAACTTGGTCACTTATAGTACGCGTAATTTTTCCTTTTTTTAAACTGGTTGAAATTTCATGTGTCACTTCGCTGTCTAAGCTATCTACAATGGATTCATCATCGGATGAGATATGCCCATTTTGCAACTTTGTTTTTTTAGAAACTGCTTTGATTAGTTTTGAAACTGTTGGTTTTGGTGTTGTTTTAGACGGAGTTTTCCCTGAAATTACAGTTATTGTTGTACTAACCACATGACGTTTGGGTGTTGTACGTTTTGTGTCAGTTTCAGTCACTGTTTTAGAAATCACCCCTTGAGGTTTTTTAATTTTAGATTCCTCTGGTTTGATGGGTTGAGGGCGTTTTACTGGAGTTTTCTTTGGGACATCTCCATTAACTAACGTTTTTGTAACTTTTTTATTAATTGTATCGTCAATTCTATGAGTCCTAATATGAACACGGTTATCTTCTTTAGCCTGTTTAAGATTTTCTACATCATAAAGAGTAATTTTTGCCGATGTCTTTTTAACATCTTCTTTTAGTTTTGTTTTATCATCAACTGACTTTTTAATATTTTTGGTGTCAGTTTTTGTAGTTCTTGTAGTAATGATTTTGTTTGTGGTAACATAGTTGTTTTTCTCTGTCAAGGGTTTCTTTATAGGTGATGAAGCTCGAGACGAATCAGTTTTTCTGGTTACAGAACACGTGCGTTCATTTTCTATAAAAAGTTGTGCAGATCTCTTTGGAGACTCTTTCTTTACAGTTTTATTTGTTGTTTTTGTTCCAGTTTCTAGAACTTCTTTGTTAAGAACGGACTGCGTTTTCTTTTTACTTATATCGTTTCGTTGAACTTCTTCCTCTCGACATAGTTGACTTATGAATTTTTTTGTAGCCATTGGTTCATCAACTGGCACTTTTCCTTCCAACTCTGTAACGTTTGTAACGGTATGAATCTCTTCAACTTCTTTTTCTTCATCGGTGGTTGTTGACGATGATGAATCTTTTCTTGTTATAGATTTATCTTTGCTTGGTGATTTAGGGTGAGTTATATATTCAGATTTGTCTGGTTTTCTTAAAATAGGTTGGCTTTTTTCAGGCACTTTCCTAATTTGTGATGGAAATTCCTCAATTTTTGAGCCGTCTCTTTTAGGCTGCGCTTTTTGAGGATATTTTTCCGATGAGACTTTTTCAGGAGATTTCTTCACTTGTGATGGAAATTCGTGAATTTTAGGAGCATTTTCATCAAAGGATTTAAGCTTATGCATACTTTTGCATATTTCGACATCTTCCTCTAATGGTTTTCTCTCTTTACGTTCGCTGCGTGATGTAAACAATGTATTTTTTTCAGGAAATTTTCTTATTTGAGATGGAAATTCGTCAATCATAGGTGGCTCCTCTTCTGGAACCGTCTTCTCAGAATACGGTTCTAAAAGTTCTTTTTGGGGCGACTTTCTAATCTGTGAGGGAAACTCGTATGTTTGTGGAATATCTTCTGGAAGTCTGGTTCGTTCAGGATACGGTTCCCATAACTCTTTTTCAGGAGAGCGTTTAATTTGAGAAGGAAATTCAGAAATTTTTGGACCATCCTTAATAGGACTTGTTTTTTCGGGATAAGGACCTAACGGTTCTTTTTCAGGCGTTTTTCTAATTTGGGAAGGAAACTCACAGATTTTTAAAATTTCTGTTACCGGCCTCTTTTTTTCTGGATAGGGTTCTAAAGGCTCTCTTTCAGGCGTTTTTCTAATCTGAGAAGGAAACTCACTTATTTTTGGACTTTCGTTCATCGGCCTCTTTTTTTCTGGATAAGGTTCTAAAGGCTCTTTTTGTGGAGATTTTCTAATTTGAGAAGGAAATTCAGAAATTTTTGGACTTTCTTTAACAGGCCTTGTTTTTTCTGGATACGAGGGTAGCGGTTCCTTTTCATGAGGTCTACTACTTTGAGAAGGAAATTCAGAAATTTTCGGTCCCTCCTTTGTAGGACTCTTTTTTTCTGAATATCCCTTCGCAACTTCTTTTTCAGGCGACCGTTTTATTTGTGACGGAAATTCACTAATTTTGGAAGCTCCCTTCGATGGACTTTTACGATCAGGATATTGCTGAAGAGATTCTTTAGTGGGACTTTTTCTTACTTGGGATGGAAACTCAGTAATTTTCTTGTCAGGAGACGAAAGTTCTTTAGTAGGACTTGTTTTCTCTGTAGTGGTCTTGGGACCCGAACCACGCCTTGCTACAATTCTGTCAAGACTATTTTTTCTCTTATCTGTTTCATTCGTGATACCCAGAATTTGTCGACAACGCTCTTCGTATGTATCAGTCCTTTTAAATGGTCTGTCTGTCCTTGGAGACTCTTTAGTTGGAGAGGGATTTCTCAAACTGCTAGACCTAGCTACATCTCGAGCACTTGCTTTTTTGGGCGACGTATCTTTTAGTGGTGAAGTTGGTGAACGATCAGTGACTTTCTTTGTCGATTTTCTTGTAATTTCTAAAGTAGACGGCCTTGATTTTGTGATAACAGTAGTTTCATTAGTATCCAAATCGGTAACAATGTCCTCATTTCTTATATACTCAATGTCGCTTGCAACGCTAGTTGGAGAAGGACTTCTAGATCTAGTCTTAGACTTGTTTTTCCTTCTAGTCAAGGTACTACTATCAATCTCCGTGGTAATAGTTTTGCGAGTAACTGTATCTGTATTACGGTTGGTTTTGCAAGTGATAGTCTCATTACTTATAGTTTTTTTAGGAGAGATACTTCGTCTCTCGGGTGATAATCGAGACGGATGTCTGTTTTTCTCAGGGCTAGCACTACTTCGCAAAGAATTTGTACTAGTTCTCAGACTGCGAGTAGGTGAGGAACATTTGCTTATCCTATCTGGACTAACTGCTCTCAGAGATCGGGCAAAAGCATCGTGTGTTGGGCTAACCTCAACGCTGATTTTCCTATTAACATAATCAGTTCTGTAAGTTGTGTCGTATTGACCTTCTGTTGGAGAATGTTTTTGATCAAGTTCAGATTTTCCAGGTTTAATAGGTTGACGTCGTTCAGGTTGCTCGTATTTCGATTCAGATTTTGGAAGTTTCTCAGGGCTTTTAGCTCTGGGTGTCCCTTGTTTGGGTTCTATTCGTTTTATATTGTCTTGTTTTTCAATAGCAATAAATTCCTCATTAATTTTATTTTTATGTTGTTCCTCCTGATACCTTCTTTTATCTTTAATATCATTTATTTGTTTGGTGACCGTTGTATGAGTAGAAGTAGTTATAGCATCATCGACTGCTTGATTCTTAGTATCGTATCTATTTTTGACCACTGTAGTTTTAACAGTAGATTCGTTACGAATTGGTTCTTCACACATACCTTCAACATTTTTTACGACGGTTGTCCTTGTCGTAACATTTGAGTCGTAGGTAGTACTTGGCTCTTCTCTCATGTCATATACATTTTTTATAATTGTCGTCTTGTGAGAAGAACTTGGTTGCCCACTTTGAATAACATTAGTTGTATTTGTTGAACTCTTAAAAATATCTTTTTCTGAATCGATTGTGGTTTTGGAGAGATTGTCAACAGAATCGGATTTTACAGTTCTAGTGATGGTTTTGGTGGTTGCTGGTTGTAACTCTTGGTTATAAATATGTCGAGTAACCGTTGTAGTAGTACTTGATGGCTGTTCGGTAATGTAACGAGTAGACCTTGTCTCATTTTGATTCGATCTTGATTCAACAGCTTGAGAAGAACTAACAGTAGATGATCTTTGTTCAGAAGTGTTTTTAACCGATTGTGAAGTGGTTCCACCTCGAACTTCGTATTTAGTGGTTGTTACAGTAGTACCATCCGGCATGGTTCTGGTTTCTCTTATAACTTTAGTTTTCCCTTCAACGTAATTCGGATGTTTTTTTAATTCATTGGGAATGTTATCGGTGTAGGTTTTTCGTGATACAAGATAATCGTCATTTTGGTTCTGTGTAATCATTTTTGATGGTGTTTGAATAATATCACCAGTTGTAGAGTGCTGTTCTGTTACATATCTTGAAGAAGAAGAAGTTTTGGTCGACGAGGTCTTAAATGAAGAACTTTCATCGCCTCCACACGCTTCTTGCTTAATGACGGTATTAGAAGATGCACCAACAGCTTTAGTAAAGTTTTTATCATCACCATCTTTATAGACAGTCGCTTGTTGTTCATTTTTCGCAGCAAAATCAAGATGTCCGCCTTCAATTTTCTCACTTCCAGAAGTTGTGGCTACTTTACTCGTAGTGAAGGTTTTACCGTCGTCGCTCTTCTTGTTTGATGTAACCACAGTCCATCCTTGATTGCCCATTCCTTTTTCTTAGATTATTAATATTATTTTTGTTCCGAATAGTTTAATTATTAAACTTACCAACAACTCTATAGCTGTCGTCCCTTGTGGGTGATTCCGAATCTCTTATTTCTTTCGTTTTCATGCTGATGAAACTGTGATCAGCTAGAGAGTCAGCATGGGTAGAAGTCAAACAGGATTTACTTTCAGTGGTTGTTTTCATGGTACTCCTTTGAATGTCCGAATTGACTTCTCCGGAGTTGTAAAACTCTCTAAGTCGCGCTTCGCGTAGTTTGTACATGTGAGCACGAATCTCCTTTTTGCGACCGAAATCCTCGGATTCCTGCCACATTTTACGCAAGACATCTTCATCTTTGATGAGGGACACGTCCCCCGACGTTTCGACCGACATTTCCTGTTCAAAGTATAAATTAGTTGACATCATCAGACACTGTGGGAGGTGTGGGAATGTTACGCAATATTTGTCATTCAAAATTTAGGCGTTTGAAGGATTCTTTTATAATTAACAAGCAAAAAATTTTCCTATTTACATATGGCATATTTTTTTATACGTGGTAAATGTGTTTCCAGAATAACCATTTTTGATATACTTATTTGTGTTTCGATAAGTTGTTTTATCTGGATAACACAAGACTTTTGGTTAATTTTCAAGTTTACTTCGTGATTATTGAAATGACATTGCCTATAAATTCTCAAATATTTCTTTATCTTATGATGAACGGGTGTCAAATATCGTAAAATCGTGACTAATTAACCTTGAAAACTTAGTGCCAGTAAATAATGTAGGAACACCTATTTCATTCTTTTGCATACCAACTATGTACTATTGCAAGTATATAACGGGTGAGCAACAGTTTTATTGTCAGTCCTGGAAGAGAGAGATACACATACAGGGACATTTTTTTTTATTAGTATACATAGCCTTATGTATACTGTTAAAAAACCGGGTCAATTTCATTGGTAGGCGACCAAAATTTCAAGCTTTTAGTGGGTACTAGATATTAAAATATTCAAAACTAAAATTTTGTGTCAACTTTGTCAAGTGTCAGTCTTGAAACTTAAAGCGCAGCTTTAAAAAGTTAATACCATTTATGATACCATGTACACCAAAGTGAATCGGGAGATATAGTCCCATCGCATAGGCTCCACGATCGCCAGACTTGGCATCTAACGATTTTTTTCGTTGAGGGTATTTAAAAATAAAAATTTATACTAATGTTCCAATGCAAAACTTAGAAGAGCTGAAAGAACGTATTCGTACAGAATGTAATAATATAGATCCTGAATTTATCAGGAATGCAGTAGCGGGGTTTTCAAAATCGCTTGGGTTATTGTTTGGAACTGCAAGAAAGCATTTTGAACATTTGCTTTAATTATTAAATATTTTTTATGTTTTGATGGGTTTTAATTTTTTTAATTAATATTTAATTACATTTACTTTGTTGTTTTTAAAAGTTTGTCTTTTATTTATCGATAAATACAGGGTGTTTCACGTAATTTTACGAAGCCTGCCCCTGTAAGATGCAATCAATAATACATATTCCGATAGGAACTCGATTACAAATTTTGAAAAATTGGATAATCTTCTCTAGTTTGTTCAACATTTCAAAAATTACAACGTTTTTAGTTAGTTAGTGATTAAGATAAATAAACTAGCTTCATACTCATGCCGTCTCTTGATAAAACAAATGATAATTATTTCTGAAAAACTGCAGTTTATGACTGTTAATGAAACAGTGATTAGTTTGACAACTACTGTCATGGGTTTCCAAAAGTTAAATAATTAAATGTGTATTTTTGTATCCAGTGTTCTGTGATTTTTGTATATTTGGGTGCGTACATTAGGTGCAAACCTCGTAAAGTTCTGTGAAACACCCTGTTATAAATAAGCCTGTGTAACATTGGTTGCCTATGCCTAGACAACGGCTAATTGTAAATTGCCATAGTAACATTGAAGTTGACCCGTTTTTTTTTTAAGTATACATAGGGCTATTTATACTAGTAAAAAAATGTCCCTGTATAAGTCATGTGTAAGTTGAAACCTTTAAAATAATTCATTTACCTAGAGTAAAACTTCCGAACTCTAATCGCCAAAGGTCCAAAACTCAAATTCAAATTAGATAATAATAAATTAGAGAAAATTTGAATTAAGGAAAATACAAGCAAAACAAAATTGTGAAAATAACACAACTTATCTTATTCGAATGTTTATAGTTTCTGTGATATACAGGGATGTTCGTTTTTAGAGCTCTACCATGGGGATCTCAGTTATTATAAGTGATACGAGGTCGGTTAAATTAGGGCAAAGTTGCGCATTTTTATGTTGAACAATAATCTGAAAGAAAATTTAATGTGTCATTTTTAGTTTTTGAATTATTGGAAAAAAACGGAAATTTGTAATTTTCGTTTTTATTTTTTCAAGCAAAAACTAGGACGTTATTAAGGCATTTTTTTACAAGGAATATCGTATTTTCCAAAGCGCTCTTGATATCAGAGTTAACACTCAACTTTGGATTTTCTTATGGATGCCATATTTGATTTCTGTATTTTTGAAAAGTCTTTTTGTTCCTGATTACAACGATGTATCACACGATATGATCAAATTTTCCATGCTGATCAAAATTAAGAAAAAGCGTGCTTTGGGAAAAACGCTACCAATTTTAATTAACAAACTTAATTTTGACAGTTTAATTGAATTTGATGGATCTGGAAGTCACATTTCCTTCAAGCTTATCTACTTAAAAACAGAGGTTTTTAAATACTAACAACGTGATATACTAGAATTTATTCTTTGCAAAACAAAACAACACAAAGTTATAAAAGACGCTCGAATGTAGCAGCAATTTTGTTTGTAAATTAAAATCGGTGGCATTTTTTCCAAAGCACTCTTCGCAAAAACGCTTTTTCTAGCATGAAAAATTTGATCATATCGTGTAATTGTAATCATGGAACAAAAAGACTTTTCAAAAATACAGAAATCAAATATGGCGTCCATAAGAAAATCCAAAGATAAGTGTTATAACTCTGATATCCTTGTAAAAAAAGTGCCTTAAGAACGTCTTAGTTAAAAACGTCTAGGTCTTTTAGTTTTTGCTTGAAAAAATAAAAACGAAAATTACAAATCTCCGTTTTTTTTTCTATAATACAAAAACTAAAAATGACACATTAAATTTTCTTTCAGATTATTGTACAAAAATGCGCAACTTTGTCCTAATTTAACCGACCTCGTATCTCTTATAATAACTGAGATCCCCATGGTGGTGTACGAAAAACGAACACCCTGTAAAGGGCTTTAGTAGTTAAATAAATTTAAACTTGTTGCTCAGCCGTAAACGTCACGAACAAAAATTGTAAACAAATACATACAAATACATTGCTTTAAAAAACTGAGTTAATTACGCCACAGAAAAAAAATCTTATTATAATAAATGTCACCGAGTATTAGTAATACATATCAAATATCGAATAAAGTATTCAAACAATGCCAACTTCGTTTGTATTTCATTTTTTGAAACAAATTTTCTGACGCTAAAATGGATGCTGTAGTACCCTGTATACCTCAGAAATTATATAAACATTCATAAAGCCAGTTGAATTATTTTAATTTCGTTAGACCTGTATTATAGTCATCTCTTAAAATTTTGTACACAACTATTAAAATCACCCTGTACATATTAAATTACAATTTGTAAATATGTACATGTAGAAAATAAAAATACTATAAATCAAATCTGTAGTGCCCAAAATTGAAAGAAGTTAACTGCAATCAGCTTAACTTCATTAAACGGCCAAGAACCAAGAAACTCCCATTCCGAATATCCGAAACAAGTTTCTGCCAGTCGTCATCATATATATTATTATACAGTGCCGGCCTAAGGCAAAGTTTTAGGATGAAGCGAAATCCAATTATGACTCACAATTTGCTTACCCTTAATTTCCACTACTCCAAAAAATTATATAAACAAAAAAATTCCTAAATTTCTTGGTGATTTTTGAAAGGCTGTCTTGGTTAAAAATGGTCGTATGTAAATTAAAAAAAAAACGTTTTGAGGCTTCAAGTTTCTAGTTTTGAGATCTTTTGGCAAAAATTTTTTATGCTATGGTTATCACGCAATCCTAAAAAATAGCACACGAAAAAAAAAATTTTTTTTTTTTGGGCTACAGACTTATATTATTATATTATTTTTTAGTTAAACAATGCATGCGCCGGATAGTCTCGTAATTCAGCTTTAATATGCTTTTATCATATTCTTCTTACGTCAATTTGTCGATGAAATATCTGACTTTAAATGAAAAAGTATCCTTTTGTCTTTGATCATCAATATTATCTCAGATATTGAAATCCCAGACGATTTTTATATTATTGCGGAAAATCTTGTGGTAACTTCAGTGAGTTACATCGTATTTATTCCTATCCCCAACGTATGTTGCTGAATTTCTTAAACATAAATGCGATGGATACTACGCATACAATATTATACTCCTCAATTATTATTACTCATTGCAAGAGTTTACAAAAGGAACAACTTTGTTTGTATTGAGTGATTATATTTTTTTCAATCTGTACACATCTGTACAGATATATCATAATATACTATTGTATCGAAGTAATAAAATTTGTATACATAATAATGTATCCATTACAATTACTTTTAAAGAGGGGAAAAAGTTTATGACTTCATATTAATGGCAGAACATAATCTAATCCTTAATTACTAATAATAACTAGGTACTACTAATAATTAAAAAATTGACAATGTCAAAATGAAAAGTTAAAAAAACGCGTCTAAAGAATTATGATGTATCTATTTTGTTATTTTGCTTTAATGATAACAGGAAATGAGTTTGGTTTAATTGAAAACTTTATTAATTTATT